ATATTGACTGGCTTCGCGCCGCCTCATGCTTCTCTCGTGAAGAGTAGACGTATGTCTTGAGTGCCTTGAAGACCTTCTTGTCGGGCGCATTACGCGATGACTCTAACTTTGTCGCTCGCTTTTGGAATTCGGATGTGTCCCATGCTAGTACTGTCGACAGAATTTGCTGTAGAAGATTCATGCCGTCGTTGGTGTTGTTGGTAAGGCCTATCCAGTTGGTCATGGCCGTCACTGATAGCTTTGCCAGTACTAATCTGACCATGCCATTGATCATCGTCGCTGCATTTCCAACGCGCAACGTCTGCTTGACGACGGTGTATGGGATGAGGCGGTGCAGGTTCTCGAGGAGGCGAACGAGGTATTGGCCGTCGGGCGACATGACGAAGACGTGGTGGAGGAAAGATGCGGCACTGAGGCTGTCAGTTTGCGAATAGAAGACCCATCTAGAGTACTCACTTCAGCAGCATATACTCGTGCGCTGCCTGCAGACTGCTGGAATGGTCCTCCAGCCTTGGCGTCGCCTTGACTTTCTCATACAGATCATCCAAAGCATCCCCGTATATCGCATCCTTGACTAATTCCTCAAAGCCTTGTATGACGTCTTCCGGCTTGCTTGTGTCGTATTCCTTCTTGCTTTCCTTCTTCTTCGTTGCTGAGTATCCACCCAGCATGCCTCTTGCGACGTACTCGGCGATGCTACTCGCCGCCGTCGCAAGGGCCTTCCGACTTCCAATAGCGCCTTTATCGTAACTCTCACTCAGTTCCGCCTCGGCCATTCTCGCGACTAGCGTCTGGATTTTGTCCGACCACCAGCTCTCGCCAAAGTTTCTTATGGCGGGGTTGCATAGCGCAAACTTGTTGAGCATGTTCTGTAGCAAGGGGCTCGTCGACTGGACGCCGTCTGCCTTCCGGAAGGGGTAGCCATACTGATCGATGGTGTGGGGGTATTTGAAGGCTTCGATTTCGGAGTAGACTTGGTGGTGGATCAGGATATCGAAGAGGGCGTGCGTCTGCGCGGGCGTAAGCGGTTTGGGGGTCGACATTGTGGTGGAGAGTGAAGTATGGTAGGACCAGAATCTTGGAATGGCTCCATAGTTGGCTACGTGAGAGATGGTTGACGCGGCTGCGCCTGCGACGCGGGGTACGTCATCGCGCTTGCCGTCTTGGCAGATTAGCGACCTGATCACCCCCACATGGTCGCCAGAGTTTCGGGTAGTACGGCCACCCGAGACGTCTACATCAACCCAGGATATCGTGAAGTTGAAGTTTATATATGTAGTTACACCCTACAACCTCATCGCCAGCTTCCGAGAAGACGCGAACAAACCACCCAGATGCCTACAAACCTCTCTAGAACAGTTATATACAAAGCATTTCCATCATGTAAGCCTCAACCCCCAAACCTCCAGACCGCCCACAACACCTGTGTCCAACGTATACCTCAAAATTTGAACGTGAGACCCTGTGACAGGCCTTCACGGAGGAAGATGTGCTCAGGGATGACGTCATCTTGTGCGATCAAGATGATGGTTTTGAGCTTGCACTCGGCCTTGTACTCCACGCAAGCCTCGCGGAAGAAGTCGAAGAGGCAGGTTGCCACAAGGTGGTGAAAGTCATCTCCCTCTTCATTTTTGAAGAGGGGTCCTGTGTTGTAGTAGACTTTCCACGTCTTCAGTTCTGGGAATCCGGCGGCGAGAGTTTCGGTGATATAAGGAGCTTCATCATCGAATTCGCTCCAATCTCCATCGTGAATCGGAGCACCGAGCACAACGTCGCGAGAGCCATAGACCTCAATCCCAGGGCAGTAGGACGCAAGGCTATCCATGTAGCGAAGCGAAAGATCGTTGTCATTACCGAGATCGACGTCGTAAACGCGCAGCCCGGAATGGTAGCTCCAGATGTCGATCAACCTGGGGTATTCGGACCTGGGCGCACCCCAACTATTGCATACTTTCATCCTAACTGACTGTAGGCTATGAAAGCTGGTGATGAAGTTCGTAAACCCCGAGTCGTGGGTTTCCCAAAGGAAGGGCTCGTCCCAGCAAATTATCTGGATACACAGATCTTCAATGTTGATCTTCGATTCGGGATTTGATGTCATGAGGAGCCCGAAAAGGTCCGAGAGGAATAGCGACTGGATGAGATGAAGTGAGCGCACACTGGATATGTCGATAGACATACCAAAGACGCCCAAGGGAAAATGTCTGAAATTGACATCGTGAAAAACGAGCTTAGTGACAGCGAACGTCTGTTCTAATCCCAAGTCCCAGAAGGGATTGCGATATGTCCCGGTAACTCCGTCGGGGAAGCCGAAGGTAGCTCGCATGTAGAAGTAATCGATATGATTTCCTACACCGATGTACTCAAGTAGACGGCGAGCGACTCTCCTAAGCGTACCAGCCACGTTGTGATGAACTGATCCCCTCCTACCCGCGGAAGCAAATTCAAAAAGCTTCCCAGGCTGCAGTAAGGTAGACACGAACTTGAGGATGAGTCGGCTGTCCATGACAGTTTCATCGTTGTATTGACCGGGGCACTTGATTGGATTGCACATCTCCGGAAGGTCAATCTTTCTCAAGGATGCTCGGAGAGTCTTCCCACGGGCTGGGTGACACAGAAGGCTTTCCAGCATCAGCCAAGATAGCCCGTTCAATATGGATATGATCGGGTCTTGTTGTCCATGTGATAACCCGGGCTGTGTGAATACCAACGAAGTCAATGGGAGGTGTTGTAGGCATCGCGCCAGGAGCTGGAAATAGGCCTGCGCGTAAGGAGATGCTGTGATGTCGATTGTCAGATCTCGGGTAAAGCGATCGATGTACATGAACGTCGGTTCGTGGCCTATGAGGCTGCTAGCTGAGGGGAAATTAGGGCCTAGGCGGACCCGAATGGCGCTCTTGTATAGGGCTTCGAGACCGATCGTCCAAAGGGCTTGACAACTGCGCATGAAGTTGGGCAGATCGTGTTGACCAACCTGAACAATGTTAGCTCCAGTTCTCATCGGTGCTCGCAGACTACAGAGCTATCTCAAGCTTGAATGAGCAGAGATGTGGGTAGTCCAGCCTCCACGCCATGTTATAATCATCAGACTTACTGCTTTGGCGATCTGGAGGACCAAGGCGGTGTCGAGGTCAAGGAGCTGAGTTTTGTTCCTTCCCTTAGATTTCGGCGGTCGCTTCAGCCTCTTGGAAACAGGTGTCGAAGTGGTGGCACCCGCAGAGGTAGGCTTGCTCTCAATGAACTGCCATCGTCGCTTGCTCAGTGCGCCTTTGGTCGCGCCATCTCCGGGATCTGCGGAAGACTTTCGCGGCGCCATTGTCGCAAAGAATTGAAAATACAACTGCTCGCGTTGAAGAATGGGCTCAGAGCCTGGCGAATATCCCTTGGTGGGATCTAGCCAGTCGCGTGGTCTGTGCGCAGGTGAATGCAAACAGACGCGACAGCCAATGGAACGACGGGAGAAGGCCAAGCCCGGAGGCGGCAGCCTTGCGCGCCGTAGCTCTTCTGTCTATAAGAGTCTGCCCACCGTCTTCCAACTACTCTGCTCACCACCCTCCACCTCACACCGTCTTCGGCTGTGGACTGAGAGAAGTCGAGAAGAGCTCGACCCGAGCTCAACGATATCGGAGAGTCCGACAAGGTAACGTCATCTTCACGAGAGCCCCTCGTTCACATTATCTGGAGCCGCAGGCGGGCTCCAGCCGTCCTCGCTAACAAGTCTTCTTCCACTCTTTTCACACAGCTTCTCCAATACTTCCTGATACCTCGGCTCACAAGCGTTAAGGACTGGGGTGGAGACGTTGACGGACGCTTACGACCCTGGTCTCACGAGGTGTCGTTGCGCTGACGAGCATTATGTGTCGGCACCTCAACGCTCGAATTCGATCTGTGGTTTTTGCAGTGCTACCTACGATCGACGGAACGGCGACATCCATGCACCTTCTCCACACTCCGCCAAAGGGAAGTGCGACTTCGCGTCTACCCTTTGCCCGTTTGTGGTCTCGCCGGGAGGTGGTGAGCAACGATATCCTTCGGGATTGCTCATCTCACACGGCAGGAAGCAGGCGGAGCTCGTCTCCAGCAATGGACTCCGGTCCAGCTTCTGAGTGACAGGTACCTACGGGAAACCGGCTCGTCGAGTGGATAGTTGAAGATGCGGGAACGTGAGCCCGGTTACCACAACGAAAGTCTCGAGACCTAAGGTAGAGGCTTATTGGGGCCTTTACTGACGATCGAACGGCGGAACCAACACCCACCTTTTTTTCGTTGACATTGCTGCTTTATGCAGTCTGTTGAAGAAGATATAGTAAGGTAGTATCAAGAACACGAAACAGAACTGAAGAACGCGCTTTTCAATACGACTGCATACTGTCGTGCATATCATCGAAGTGTGAGAGTTGAGATGATGTCGGCAGCTCTTTCTCCAGCTGGGCCGCTACGTCACCTACTAACGGCATTCGGTGTAGCGTCGCGCGTCTCACCAGCCCACCTGGGCAGCACCGGAGGATACCATGAGCATTAAGCACCTGAGACGTGTACTCTACTGTTTCTCCTCTCAAACAAGTCGACAATGTCTGACAACCGATGTGGCGATCAACACGTACGAAACCGAAAACCACGCATACAGAACCAAGGCCCGCCCGTGCCACCAAAGACTCTCAGCACATCCATCAAACGTGTCGCCGCACCCAGTCCCTTGAACTTGTACAAGCTCACCAAACCGCTTTCGTCAGTGCCTCGTTCGCCAGTAGCGGCTTCAGTCACGAAGAAACAACAAATAAAGCCGCTCCCGGCACCACCAAAGAGCGCCACATTGCGATTGACCTTGCTCTGGGTCGCAGCCTTCTGCGTGTGGTTTCTCCTAATCGTGGTATTACTACCTGTGATTACAGAGAAAGACGCAATGCCCGGTTTCAACAAATGGCTTCGTACGCTGCTATGAACAAAGCTACGTGGCCAGGATAGCCTTTTAAAACCCTCCATGACCCCACAAGAAAGGTCTACAACTTCGACTCCGCCTTCGTAGCATCCACCAAACTCTTCCTCCCCCCAAACCCAAACAAATACGCAGCAACCTTCCGCATCTGAATCTCCTCACTCCCCTCAGTAATCCTATACCGGCGATGGTGTCTCCAAATATGCTCAAACGGATAATGTCGCGAATACCCATTCCCACCATGGACCTGGATCGCGCGGTCCGCCGCCTGCGTACACAGCCTATTCGCGTAGTAATTACACATGGACACCTTATCGCCAATCTTCTTCTCAATCTCGCTGTGCGGCATAGAGTCCATCTCCAGCGCCGTTTTCCGGATCAGCTGTCGCAGCATCTCGCATTGCGTGGCGAGTTCGACGAGCGGGAATTGGATGCCTTGGTTGTGGGAGAGAGGGGTTCCGAAGGGCGCGCGCTCGTTGGCGTATTCGACGGATTGTTGGACGCAGTATACGGCGGCGCCGAGCGAGGAGGCGGCTTGGCGGATGCGGTTTTCGTGGACGAAGGCTTGGGCGACGCCGAGGCCGTTGTGGATGGGGCCTAGTAAGGCGGTCTCGGGGACCCAGACGTCTTTGATTGAGACGGTGGCGTGGTCGGTGGGCATGTTCAGTGTCCTGGGCGTTGTTAACAAACAGTATCGAGCGCTATGGGACAAACGACGTACCACTCATACGACTCTGCCCTGAGGCCTGGTGTCTCTACCGGTACGACGAAGCACGAGATGCCCTTGATCTCCCCGTCCTTTCCAGACGTCCTCGCAAAGACCGAGCAGTGTGTAGCGTGATGCATGCCAGTCTGCCACCGCTTGTATCCATTCAACACCCATCCCTTCACACCATCTCTCGTCTCCGGCCGCCCCTTTGTCGCCATGTGTGTCGCATCCGAGCCATGACCGGGCTCCGTCAAGCCGAACGTCATCCTGAACTTGCCCTGCAGCCGCAGCGGTATGAACTCCTTCTTCTGCTGCTCGTTGCCAAAGTTCATGAGCATGATGACGTCGGGGAAGTTGCCAACCATCGAGTGCTCCGTCTGCAGGTCGTTGAACAGGCCCAGTCCCTTTGCAGCGAGATGCTCTCGGATGACGGCCATCCAGAGGTTGCTCCCTCGTCCATCGGCACTGTTCTGACCGCCGTATTGCTTTGGAAGCGACAGTCTGTAGAAGCCGGCTTCATCGGCCAGCCTCCTTGACTCCGCCAATAGCTCCTCCCATTCCTTGCGCGGCAGGCCGCCGTTGTCCCAATCCGTTCGAGCGTGCTCGCGGCGGTGGTCGAAGAAGCGGTTATTGTCGTCTTTGTGTTGGAGCGGAGTGATCTTCTCGTCGATGAACTTGTCGAGATCGGCGAGGTATTGCTTCAGATCATCGGGGATGGAGAAGTTCATCGTGTGCGACAGCGACATAGTGGTGGGTCTCGATGGGTACAATTCGTGGAGGATGGGATTGATGGCGCCGACGCTCTATCAGCGTTCTGGATATTTGTCGAGTGGGGGCTTCAAGCTAGAAGCTCGCGGTATAAGGGCAAGCTTCGGGACGCGCATCTTGATGACTCGCTTGCTCTCAGTCGTGGAGTTGCTGTTCCAGGAGCGCTGCTTTGCGGGGAAAGAAGCACAGGCCAGGCGGAGTTGACCTCGGCCTTCGCGGGCGCGCCTCAACCCATCACCCAGAACGCGAGTAACGCAGGCACGACATCCCCAATCATGAACACCGTGTCTAGTCGCCAGGGTCGCGTCCGAGAGCAGACTTCTGTCCCGCCCTTGCGGCTGCCGATATACCATCTCCCAACCCGCAGCAATGACCTTGCAAGCCATGAGAGCCCTGAGACGAGACGGGCGCAGATTGCGTCCGATCAGACACCGCAAACTTTACAATACGCCACAGTCTTCCTGCGATATACACCACTGTCAGCAAACTGAGAATCGGAAATTTAGAAAAGCTGGGTGGTCGACATCTCGCATCGTCTGACACGCCATAGCTAAGTCTCTTGCGGCGAAAACATCGGTTCATCTTGAACTGCATCCAGTAGTCATTCTACGCCAACCCGCATATAATTTCATTCGTACTGTATGTATCACAAACAAAAACGCATCAGATATCCTCGTGGTACATAGTTTGCTACCTTTTCAACCACGGTTCAGCACGGATTTCTTCCACTCATCCTGCTTTCGCTACCAACGTATGGGCTTCGGCAATAACCCGTACGCATATAAATCGGCTCGTACTAGATTTACTTCTTCTTTTATCAACTGCACTGAGATCTAGCCTGCCATGAATTCTCGCCTTCCCGCTATGTCCGAACCACTGGATCCAGTTGTGACCCCCCAGTCACCAGTCGAGTCATCTACTGGAAATGCCGGCCTGGAACATGACGCCAAAGACACTGACACTGCGCAAAAATCTACCTCTCTTCGAGACCATCAAGGCACTATCGAGCTCAGGGCAAGCAGCATTGTGCGAGAGTGCGAGCTCTATATGAACGGCTTCCCGGGCAGAGACAGTATATCTGGCAATCACACATTTCATCCGGCTATCAGGGGATTTATCAGTGGAACGGTTGAGCCAACAGAAGAGAACCTTGACGCCATTCACGATATGATCAGCTATCGCAACAACTTAGCAAGGCTAGCAATGCACCTACTGGACGCCACCAACATTCCTCAGCCCAAAGGCTTGGACATATTCGACTTCGATAAAGACAACTTCGAGAAGCGCATGTCAGCGACGGCTCAGGTTAGGTGCATCGCTGCCTGGCAGGCTCTCCATACTGGATTGCTACCCCGCCCTGTTGAAGATGAGCAGCAACCACAAGGCCTCCCGTGGCACAAGCCAAACTGGTATATTGCTGCGGCCATTACGCTTGATAAGTCTATCAAGACTAACGCTGATATTGAAGATGCTGTGGAACGTATGAGGGTTTGTAAGTACCTATCGTTATGCTCCTCTAGGGTTTCCACTAACTTCGATACGCAGATTACAGAGACCATTGTCAGGAATTCAAGAAACTGCTTCACTACGATGGTGAGCTGACGTATAAGGAAGAACCTCAAGACTGAGGTCTCTGCATAGTAACAACATCGTGTCATCCGATGCCAGCGCAAAGAATTCGGGAGGTGGAATAGCAGCGGCGGATACCCAATAGTGCATAAACGACACTGACTGGAAATACCAGTAAATGCAGTCTATCTACAGCTCGGCGACAAGAAGCTCGCTCTGAATGTACTGATGGGGTATCACACCAGCAAAATACCAAGACACAATATCATGTATGGCTTCAGTCTGAAATCTGAACTCAAACAACGTCAACTTCACTCATCTCGTATACTCCTACTACCCCGCGCGTCAACACTCAAACCTTCCGAAAGCCTTTATACCACCGCCTCTTCACGCCATTCTGCTCCGACGCCAGCTCATCCTCCGCCCGAATCTGTTCGTAGTCATCCGACGACACCGTCGCAAAAGACTCCGCCGATGAGTTCTCCTGCGACGTTCCCACGCCCGCGCTACCCCTACCAGTACCTTTATCCGTCGCATTGAGTACCGTTAGAAGCTCCGCTTCTGCTTCAGCTTGCGTCCGTCCGCCTAGTTCTTCCGGCTTTTGCTTCGATTCTGCTCCGTCTTTTGGCCCCTCTTTCCCCTTTCCAATCTTCCCTACATCCAACCCCACCGGCACAGCGCTCTGCCGCTCGAACGCTTTCTTCTTCGGCGACGACGACGGAGGCGGTAGATCCTGGAACGGCTTCAACCCCGCTATCGCTTTCGTCAACTTCTCAATCTCGTCTTCTTGAGCATCATCATTCTCCCCCTTGGCTCGAACGTCCGGATCATCCATCACACAACCCCCCTCCCGTCCATCCAGCCCCGGCATCTTCATACCCGGAATAAACTCAGACGCATGCCTCTTCTCTTCCCGCGACGTAACTCTAGGAATACACCGACTTTCCTCGTCGCTTATCCTCTTGACCAACTCGCGGGGGACATGTCGTTCGCTGTCATCCACGGACTTATCTTCTACCACATCGCCCTCGAGTTGCGCAAGCGCTTTCGCTTGTTCTTCTGCGCGGAGGGCGAGGACGCGGTCGAGTGTGGGTGTGCGGTCGACGCTTTGTCGCTTGTTTGGAGTGGTGAGCGGAGACGGCGCTTCGACGATTGCAGAAAGAGGTGTGCGGTGTTGTTGGGTTGGAGTTTCTGCACTCTTCCCAAACGAAGCTGTCCTAGACTTCACCTGCTTCGCCGATATCATTGCCGGGTTCTCGAAAGCGAATCTAGGTAGAATCGGGGGAAGAGGCGCGCTCTTCCTCTTTACTAGTGTTGTCTTTGGCTCATGTTCAGGTAGCGAAGGTAATGCCTGATCTGCCTTGACCTTTCCACGCTTCTCTGTTGCTAGTTTGATCGCATCAGTGCTGTCCTGGCGCAGCTTCTGATTCACGTCTTTTGTGCCGAGGAAGTTGTATTTCTCTGGACTTTTCAGATCGGTGTGGTTCCGCGGGTCTGCGGCGTCGAAGTAGGGCGTAAAATTCCTCTTATTGCCCTTGTTTTCTTTGGTAGCAGCGGTCCTAGATGTGTTCTTCGGTGGTGGAGATGTTGGATGGGTTGCTTGATCTTGTGCATACGGTCCACCGCCAACGATCTCTGCATAAGGATTATGCCACTGATGTTGACCATACGTTTGAAGACCCGCAACTTGATCCTGCTGTTGCTGTTGCTGGTCCTGCGTAGCTCCAGTCTCACCACCAACGTCCTTCGCGTATGCTCGATCTAGATTCCGGGGTGTTGCATTAGACATCTCGTGGATTGCGCCGCTTGCATCATCCCAGTATGGCATCGTCTGCGTGTCATATTGGAAGGGATCGCTATTCCGCTGCTGCGGATTCCGAGTCGACTCAGTATGCTGACTTTGAGGTTGCGAGATCTGCGGGGCGGGGTTTGGATCACTTGATGCTTGAACGTGGCCTCGGCGGTGTGGATATCGGTTTCTGGGTCCGCGAGGCGGGTTCCAGTTCGGGTCTGGCTGTGTCATTTTTGGAGGTTGGAAGGATATATCTAGGGTGCGCGGGTTGAGGGGACAGCCAAGTGCAGTAGTTTCACAATGTAAGGGTAATGGGTCTTTTGACTTGCTTGCAGGAGGTGGTGAGTAGAGTGTGGAGTACGAAAGAGGAACGAGGTTCCCCTGCGGCGAGGTAGACGGATGGGCGCGCCGTATGTGAGTATTGTGTGAGTGAATGAATGGGGGTTGTTGTGCGTTGTGCTGGCCGCCTGTTGCTCTGGTGATTTTGATCACTGATGAAAGATAGTGTTGGAGAATGTGCGCAGGTCTTGAAGCTAAGAGATGTCACGTCATAAGATTGGAAGTCAGCGCCGCAGAAGGCCATCAGTAATAGCACATAGCTGTTCTTCTAGTGATCACTTCAGCAATCATCCTGTCATACCGATCAATCAATCTTACAACAAGGTCTTTCCATCAACCCCTAATTACTCAGAACAGCTTCTCTTCATACCGCCAGTGTCAACGTGGCACCTTGCCATTGAAGGCCGTCGGAATGTCTCGGTCGACCTCTTCAAAGTCTTCAGTCAATTCGTCCTCATACTGTACCATCTCAAAGCTCTCACCTAAGCCTTGTTCTTCATCATGACATGTCTTCATTCTTGTGCGTGGCGCGTCCGGCAATTTCGGCTCTTCCGTGGTCCCGTTCTGCGTCTCATTGGCGTTCATAGCTTGTTCGTCACATTGTGAGTAAGTAAATACCTGGCCAAATTTATCGATACCTTGAAGGGGCTCACGTGGCCCACGGATCTGACCAACGCCTTTGCTCCTTGACGTCAGCGCAGTATTGAGGCCGGAAGTGATGTCTTCCATGTCCCCGATCTTAGATTGGCGTCTTCCCGATGCATCACGTATGGGTGTGTCGTGTGTACCAAACCGAACTCCAGATTTCCGTGATCTGCGTGCTATATCTTCAGCACTGGGCTGAGGATTTACTGCGTTTGGCCGCAACTCTTGTGTGCCGTAGTATATCCTCGAGCGCAGGCTATGCCGATCTATTGGTGCTTGCGTTACATCGGGCGCTACAGCGCTCGGGTGAGGTACGGACGGGAACATGGCGAGGCGAATGAGCTGCCTGTGGCGGGCGCGAGCCGTAGCAGAAAGCGAGTCCTGCCGACTGGGATGTGACTGATCTTGCGACATGTTGAGAAGTGAGCAAAGGTACTGTATCGCTGAGCAAGATGGAATGCGCAAAATTTTCGACTGAAGATGTAAGCTCTCAAATAGATGAGGCGCGGTGTTGCTGGCAGTCCTGCTCCAGCGATGTTTTGGCAAAGCTACGACACGGCCAACTCAGACAACGCGCTTGCGTAGCCATTTCATTGACATCGTCGTGCGTGACAATCGCTATCGATAGCGTGGCCCTTGCAGTGAATCTGTATCGATGCAAATCCCACCGGAGTTGAATCTTTGCCATGATATCGCCATGCGCTGCTGTGATGTCGCGGTTTGTGAATGTTTCTTCCAATGTAGCGCGCCTGGAGGACAATTGTGTGTCACTCAGCGCAATGGCGACCGAATTACGCAGTATACCTCGGTGATTCTCAAGCAAAGGTAAGGGGCGAATATGATTACTATACAGGAAGAGAGCTCATCCATCGGTCACCTCAAATGCGTGGAGAGGTGGAGACGTGTAAATTGCAGGAGGGGGTGTTGTGGCGCGCGCCACACCCAGGCAAACTGAGCGGGTCAACTTCGTCCGCGCCATCGTGGAACTTGTTTGCTACACTGCGCAACCCTTGGTGAGCCAAGAACACCATCGCAAAGTTTACCTTACACATCGTGCTCATGCGTGTCTACCGGTTGCGTGGTGATGAACACCCCTAGCCCGCGAAAATCACGTGGTGCGCTAGCTAGGTACGCGAGACGCCCTATCTGATGTTTCATCCTTCCCACATCTCCGCTGTTTCCACCAACGACTCATCGTTCGCGACCCAACGCATCCTTGCGCCATACCACAACGTCCTACGAACGCTTGATCTGGCACTGAGAAGCGCGCTGATGGAAACAATGTCCGGCTTGGCGCACGCGTGGCAAGACGATTGAAACAAAGCCGCTGCCAGACGGGCACTAGCATCGTGACGCCCTTGACATTGGTTCATGCCATCACGTATTTGGCAACATGACCGTTGCGGGAAGGATCGTAACCAATATGGATACGAAGCAGGTGTATGCGGTTACAGAGCGGTAGGTATATTAGGATTTGGGCTGCTCGAGATGTGAACTGTTGTCATCCGCTACACTCATTCTTTCGATTACCTTCCGGATATCCTCTCATTTTCTCTCGTTGAACATCTTGAGCGGAATCTTCGGCTGGTCTGAGTGACGTTCTTTACCTTCTCGCCCATACTACATTTGCCTCTTTCAAACCCCTTTGACAAGACTACAACATGCGTTTCGAAATTATCGCACTCCTGGCAGCAGCTGCCACCTCGTCCGCTCAATCGGTCGTCGGTACAGCTTATGGCTACGGTGCTGGCGCGACTGGTGGAGGAAAGGCTGCTGCTGTCACCCCAACGTCAAACGAGGAGCTGGAGAAGTACCTGTCCGACGACACCGAGCGCGTCATTCTTCTCACTCAGCAGTTCGACTTCACTGGCAAAACCACCTCTGGTGCCGGTTGCGACAAGACCACTTGCTCAGCTAAGAGCGGCGGTGGACAGTACTACTTGGGCGACCTCTCTTGCGGTGGCTCGGATATGACGCCCGTCAGCTCCATCACCTACGACGCAGGCGGTTCATCCGCCTTGAAGGTTGGATCGAACAAGTCCATTCTTGGTGTTGGCGGAAAGGGTGTGATCAAGGGCAAAGGTCTCTCCATCGCCAAAGATGCCAGCAACGTCATCATCCAGGGCGTTGAATTCACCACCATCAACCCCGGCGTTGTATGGGGTGGCGATGCTCTCGACATGCAGGGAGGAAACACCAAGATCTGGGTAGACCACTGCAAGTTCTCGCTCGTCGGCCGCATGTTCGTCGTCAGCCACTACGACGGCTCCGAGGCTACCCTTTCCAACAACGAATTCGATGGTGTCACTACCACATCTGCTACCTGCAACGACAACCACTACTGGACGATGATGATGATTGGAAAGACCGAGAAGTTTACTCTCGACAAGAACTACTTCCACGACGTTTCTGGTCGCGCTCCCAAGCTTGGTCAGGATGGTGTCAACAGCTACTTCCACGCCGTCAACAACTACTTCGAGAACATGAAGGGCCATGCCTTTGATGCTTACGATGGCGTTAGCGCCCTTGTAGAGGGCAACGCTTTTGTCGCCGTTGACCAGCCCAATACCGAGCACGCTGCCGGTGTTACCACCTTTGTTAGCAAGGGTGGCGATGCCTGCTCATCCGTCTTCGGCCGCGCGTGTCTCGAGAACAGCGTCGACTCTTCCAGCGGCGAGCTCTCCCCAGGCTCATCCTCCGGCTTCATTGCGAAGCTCGGAAAGATCGACGTTCCCGAGCCCATGGAAGCCAGCAAGGTCGCCGCCTACGTCAAGGCCAACGCTGGTCCCGCAAACCTCGGTGCTTCGTCTTCATCTGCCCCCGCTGCGGAAAAGGTCGTCGATGCTGATGCCCCAGCCAAAGTCACCAAGCCTACCGTTGCCACTAGCAGCGCTACCAAGCCCAAGCCGGCGGCTACCACTACCGCTGCTGCTGCGCCAGCACCTGCTGCTTCCACTGGATCTGGGTCCTCTACTGGCGCTGCCAAGCTCTACGCTCAGTGCGGTGGTCAGGGTTTCACTGGCCCTACTGAGTGCGAGGCTCCCGCTACATGTGTGAAGAGCAATGACTGGTACTCTCAGTGCATCAACAGCTCTTCCAAGTTCCGTCGCGCGCTTGGACGCTACTTTTAAGCGTTGGACGCATCGATAATATGGAAGACGAATGGGCAATAATACTGCGGATGGGAGACGATGTCAAGGTCTGAAAGAGACGATTCTTGTGTAAATACTTCTATTTCAATTCATTTGGCGTACACGCCATATATTTTCCAATTTGACAAAGTGCCATAAATGCTGTGTATTCTCGTCGCTGTGTCCTCCCAAGCTCGGCGCAGTTCGTTGGCGATCATCATCGAATGCGCCAGACCAGATGTCATCTCTGCCTTTCAAACGCCACGCTATGCAATGTGTACAAAGGAAAACCCGCTCCTGAACATGCCAATACGCCTCCAATCATGCCTCGCTACTCAACAAGTAAGCTAATAACCTCGTCACTCTTGGCTTCGGCATCGTAGAAGCTCAGCGGTTCTTAACACCGCATTGTCGTGGATGTGACTACTATCGTCCTGCGACAGCCCCTCTGTCCGCCATTAGGGCTTCTTGACATGTTCATCCGGCTCGGCGCTGCTTTGCGTATCGCTTTCCGTTGCTTTCGTATCTTCCGCTACGATCCGCAAGACTGCGAACTTGCGTACCATGCCTCCTGGACTAGCCGGTAGCTGTGGCTCCACAGTCGGTTCTGCTATTGGCTGACGTTCCTGTAAGCGCCTTGCAGCTGGCTTAAAGGACTTCTTCTTCAACTGCTTGCCACATCCCTCCCGGTTATGGTCGTGCTTATCGCCCAATCGCTTCATCCAGTTGGTGTTAAATACTGGGCGGTGCTGTTCATTCACCTCCGGATCGCGTACGCGCGCTTCAAGATTCGGATACTCCTTTAGCAGAGCTAGCATATCTTCATCGATTCCCGGTACCTCCTGACCTTTGCTATCGGCCTCAAACTCGCGGAGTCGTTGACCCACCGCCTTGATCGCTGCGTAGGTGTACCGGCTATTCTTGCCGAGGCAGTTCCAGAGCGTCTTCAACTCTACCGCAAAGATTGGTCGAGCCAGATGGCACTCGGCGATGTAATGATCTACCCTCAACGCATCTTTGTGTAGATCGAAGAGCTCCATCGTGCGAGCCAACGAGCATGCGACAAACGTGTTCTTTGGGACGCGGATCTGCTTCATCGAGCTCATCGTCTGGTAGTTGCAAGCTCGCAGCATCCAAGCTATGAGGGCTTTCATAGCGGCCTTGCTAGCCACTCCTCGGGGTAAATCCATCTCTTGACATACTGGCGCGCCCTTCCAGTTTACATCGTCCTCGCGGTGTGTTGTGCGGATGAACTTGTTGACCACCTTACGACCCAGGAACAGCACAAGCATCTTCTTTGGCACCTGATAAGCGAGCGTGACTCCTGTGTCCTGTTCTACGATGTCCAATACCGGGCCGTTGAGCGCGTTCATCTTCCGCTCAGGCTGGAGATAAGGCAGCAGACTTTGCAGGGTGTGTAGGTGGCGTATGTCCTCAGGATTCGGGTACGGGCGCTCCATACCTGAATACGCCGCCCAGCCTACCCACCCAAGTGTACTGAACGCCTCGACTGGAGAGGTGTTATACCCTGACAGTTCATCTTCATCGCCGGGCCGGTAGCTTTGGTTGGCCATTTGCCCATCTATACTGCCGTTGAAAGGTTTTACTAGCGGGTAAAGAGTAGGACTGCAACTCTGCTGTGCTTCTGAGGTGCCATGTGCGGGGTAGCCTTTGTCACGACGTGCAAGATAGGCTCCAACGACGTCTCCATTCCGCTCATACGCTTCCGCATCTGGGTGACCAGGCGTAAAGACCGCAGCCTTAGGATGCAACTTCGATGCCGTGATGGTACCGTCAGAGTCATAATGATAGTACGTCGTCATTTTGGGTGATGTTGCTCCCTTCTGGTTTCGCGATGTGGGTGATGGCTGACTGTCGAAACAGAGGGTAGAGGTGACGGAGTCGAAAGAACTTCTGCGGCTTGGAGCAAATTCAAATATCGAGTTTGCCACCGAACCAGTCGAACTGTCTTGATTGTGAGTGTGCTGGATGCGAGAGGCGGGTTGTGCGCCCGCTATGTAGTCTATAGCGAGAGAACACATAGCAGCGTGAAGCGACAGGGCTACTGTGAATTATTAATGATTATTGACAATGCGACGGCGGTGTTGCGGAACAGTGTTGTTGATGGAGGGACGTGGAGTGAAAGGGTGAAGGATAGTCGATGCTGCAGGTCGCTTGTGCCAAGCCCGCGTCTATACCTGATTCGGCTACACTTACCGGAACTTAGGTGAAACACCGCGCCAAGACACTATCACGTGTGGTATCCAGAGGTTACCTAGACAGACGGATAGACACACACTCAACGCTCATGCATACTATGGAGCATCTGCGACTCACAAATCGTAAGGAATATAACGTCAATGCAACGAAAAAATGTCTCATGCAGTCGAAATGCATCCAGCATCGAACAATGACCCTTCGAACGCCTGTGGCCACAACATGGGTTCTCCAGAACCTCACTGCAGCGCATTACTAGACTTCACAAGTATTGTTGAGGGACATACATATCCGGGAGATACTTTCATTTCTCACTATACCCTACCATCATGAGAAGCACAACACACGCCTCCATGCGTCACGTTTCCGATTTCCTTTCTCCGGCGATACATCATCTCTAAGGGATGTCACATACTTGCCGGCCAAGTAACCTTCGTCACGAACCCCAAGCCCATATTGCTGGGCCTGTCGATGAAAAGAACCCGCTCTTCTGCCAGTCCGCCCGTCCGCGAGGCCGCGCAGCGAGCAATGATCGGCGAGCTGGTCCTCCGAGCCACTGACCAGATGATTCGCGAGAGAAGGCCTCACCAGGCTCCCTGTTACCTCCAGCTAGAGCCGAGAATGTGGCGGATTGATATTTATCGTGATCCAGTGCGAATGAATTATGCTCATCTAAGCGCAGCGCTGGTGGGGAGTTCGGAAGTGACTTCGCTCGTGGCCTAGGCGTGATAGGTGTAGAACGAACACGGGTAGCTTCTGGACTATCCATATTTCCTTGTGAAATGCATTCTTCCGGCTCAGTGTCGCGATCTAATTCTTCTATTCTCCATCCGGAATTAGACGAGGCTAATGGTGTCTTCGATGTGGGCACGATGCGCGTATGTCGCGGTGAGACGTCGTCAGCACTAACCACACGGAAGTGCCGATGAGAAGGCATCAGGTGTCGAGCGATAGGTTCTTCATCATTCTTGTGTTCTGACCGACATTCATCGATGTGATCTTTTGCAGTGGCAGCATCATGTTCGGCGAGAACCTGCTGCATATATGTCCTGGGCTCGTTCAAGGTAGTGTCACACCAGTTGGGCTGCCCCAACCTTGCCTGAGCTGCGATTCGTCGACGGCGCTCTTCAGCTTCTTCCGATGTCTCAAAGCGGTATGCAGCGGTAAGACTACTCGATTCATCTCGGCTAGAGCTCCGTTCGTTGCCTAAGGGCAGAGTGGTGATGTGTCTTGGAAGTGACACAGTTGATGATCCTTCGCAGGTTTTCGCACTTTCCGGGCGAGTACACTGAATGTTGGTTCTCGAATCCGACTCGTTGGGGGTCTGCACGTCCACCGGATTAGAGTCCGACTTGTGCTCATCGTCGCTATACACAGACGACGAATCTGAACCGACGGAAAAGACCGCGCTTTGCCTAGATGGATTCATGGCTGTCGATGCGAGAGATCGCGATCTCGAACAACAAGCCAGGTGCAGATGAAGCAGCGCAGCTGCCGCTGGCGTAGAATTGCTTCCGTTTGCTTTGAGGTGGATCGCAAACGTGGCAGCAAACCGTGTTGATTGTCGCACCGTTGTTTGTCGGGTGCTGAAAAGGATAACGATACGTTCGAGCGTGGCGAATTTGTATCGCGAGGTCTGAGAGTATTACCCAGGCTACCTCCGTGCGCCGATCTTTGTCAATGAAACAAGAGTACTTCTACTCCGACTCACGCGGCATCGCAGTGAATATTTCCCAAATCTTTCTCCAGCCCACGGTATACCTAAGCACATGCAGGCTACCTGAACAAACCTTCACCCCGTCGCACATGACTGAAGCAACCAACAACTCCGCATGATACATCTTAGTGACTTGGTCTGCTGGTTTTCACATCCGGCATACACGATCCGAATCGCTACCCCTTCGAGTCACTCCGGCAGCTGGACAGCATGTCATTGAAACAACCGAATACCAATCCCGCCGCTTCATCAACAGCCCAGAAAGGGCAAAAAGCCAACGATTCCAGCGTCAGGGATCTGAGCGAGCGACTCACAGACGTCAAGATCGACATCAGCAAGAATAGCGCCATGGAAAGTCTGACAAAGGATCTAGCTTCGAAATGGGAGCCGTACGGTGCTCATTCTTCGTAGCCGCAAGCTGATGGTCGTGCACAAGGCGCTTCGTGACCACCAGATGCGGCAGCGAAGTCCAAACTTCTAGCAGAGACGACCGGAACAGCTGACACGTATTGATGGAGCGTCATGTCGACGTTGGCTGTATACGGAATTCATGCTTGGATGAATGTTGCGACCCATGACCTGGTATAAGCGGTCGAACGCGTATGACAGCGAGCTTTAGGGCGTGGAGACGATGTCGTCGCGGAAGCCAGGGTGATCCGAATGGTTTGATGAAAACATATGTAGTAGACCCAACGACGTTATGCCCAAGAATGCGACACCTGTTCTGATGCTGGCAGCGAAGTCGTGCTATGTTGGGTGGTCATGATGCAGCTAGGGGAAAAGAGGGAGCGACGCTAGCAACACGCTAAATCGCGCGATTACGTCACGCGTGCCGCAGCTCGCCGTCTCGAGCCACGCGACCCCAGAGCCCTTCACTCTACGTCCACTACTGAGATTCTCTGTTAAGTTCTCATGCCATGCACCACGTTCAGAGCCATGGAACACTTACACACACGCCATAACGGCAAGCCCGGCGCACAATGCAAGTCTTCGAGAATGCGTTCGAAACGCCTGCCAGTATCTAGCATAACGCATCTTGAGGCAATAGCGCGTTCCGTAGTACATTGCCCAGCTTTGCTCAGCTGCGGATTGGAAGGCCGACACCCGCATACGAAAGATGATGGACTCAGACGACTTCAACAGTTCACGACTCATCACAAACGATGCCGCATATGGTCTGACTAGATTCTCTTCAACTCAAGGGTGCAACTGCGCTACATGGATCCAACCCGTTTCGTGGCAAGGCGCTCATCATCTCCGGGAGCTTACTTGCCAAACCAGCACTGCAATAATGCCTTCGATCCGCTGACGTCGCCTCCGACCTTTTTCTTCTCTTCTGGCTCCGGTGTCGAATGGCGGGATACACGTTCCCAGTCATTCTCGTCGTCAGGATGCCGTGGGAAGTGGACGAAGCCGGTAGAACTCACCTCAATGGGTGCCATACCATCGATACTGTGGTGAAACCCTTCACACTTCTCGCTTTGCAAGTTCCCGGATAATGGAGCCTTTCGATGAGACCTCGGCATTTTCGGCTTGTGGCTGTGAGGAGGCTTGTTCGAAGTTTCAGCGGGCCGTCGGGCCTGCTCATCAAGCATATCCCGTTGCAGCTTTTTCTCGAAGTCGTGCACCCGTTTATCGATACGTTCGCGCGCGATCTCCCTGGCCAGCTCGGAGTCTGGAGGCAGAAAAGCTTCTTTGGCAAGCTAGAATTTGTTAGCGACGAAGCTTCTTCACCTTTGGTGTGAAGCCTACAATGTCTCGCCGAAAAGCCGCCACTCCAGATTTGAACTCCGCAGATTTGCAAACGTCGCTTGACGCCTTCTTCTCCTTTGCAAGAGCTTTGGTAGCATGTCTGGACTTGGCTGCGTCAACCATCTGGACGGCGTCTGCAACCATACGCTCGGCTTGTCCAATGTCTTCCTTTGTCATTGATGGCCGAGACGGATCCCTGGGCTGACGGCTCGTATGTCTACGTTCTTCGTTCATCTTGGATGTCGACGCGATCGCTATACTGGAAGTGGCGGGCGAGTTGAAGTAGAAGCAGGTTTCCTGGTTGATGTACACAATCACGGTCTTGCTGGTGTGCTGGTGTAGATTTCTATATTCAATACCTCACATGGAAGCTCACAGTGAAGAAGCAACTGGGCCATTCGCGACTCGGAAGCAGACACACAATCATTGAGTTCACGAAGTCTGCATCACCATCCGGGCCGGCAACGCAAGCATTCACATTCACTTCATCATCCGCAACACGGTTCACTCCAAGAAGGAACAACAGGGAACAGATCAAAAGGGAAGCGAACTGTTCTGAATCTACTCTACGGCACGCGATGAGGTTCTACTACCTTACCTTGACCTACTTGCGACTGAATGCATGTCGGAACCAATGGCGAACTTTGCCCCACTTCTTAGTCTTCCTATCATCTTTGCTCAGTTCTCGGGCCCAAATCGGCTTTGCGTTGGTGTTGACAACATTCTCTTCTCTCTGGCTTGGCATAGGTTCCGCTCGAGGTATCGTGCGCTGGGTGTTCATGTGCTGCGAGGGTGTTGGTAAATGAAGCCGAGCAGTTTGAGAGGCCGTGTTACTCACTTGCAATGGCGATGGGCTGTATAGCATCAGAGGTTGGGGAGTTGGTGGTCGCAAAGCCGCTGCTTTGGACACAAGTTGAACGTTGGTGGCCTCTTTGGCGTCGCGATCTACTGTCATCGGAACAGCCTGCGGTACGACTTGGGTATCCTCTGCGTCAGCACGTTCGATGTTTCCCCACACCGGTACAGACTCCAGGTCGTCGCTGAACCTCCACCAGTCATTTTTGTGGCGCGGTGACTTCGAATCGTCACTGAAACGCCAGCCAAGGGCTTGCGGAACGCCGCTGCTTCGGTGCCGCAGCATTCGAGGCCGGCCAGCCTTGTCGCGTGACTGGTCGCCGTCTATAACGACGATACCATCTCTACTTCGCTTCGCATCGTCGCCAGATTCCGAATCGTCATCACCAGACGAATCCCCAAGAAGGGTGTACAGTTGTCTGTCTCCGAGTGCTGGGAGGCTCGATCGCATCATTGTCAACCATTGAATTCGCAGTTCGTCATACGCACAGCACAGTCTTCGAAGCTTTGTGCTGGAGTTACCAAACGAATAGCGCTGATGCTCGCGGCCAAATACGATGCCCTCATTTCGGAGAGCTCTTTTCAGAGTGCGCAGGCCAGACCATAGTTGTCTGTCGGCACCTCCGTGCTCAGGAGGCTCATAGTTGTCGATGAAGAAACCGTTCCATTGCTCTTCGTACATCGGACCGAGACGTAGCATGGTCTGGAACTCCGTGGACGCGTATGGGTTGCCGTAAGTGAGAAGCTCTCCATTGTCAGAGAAAGCAGCACCCATCTGTTGTAACCGACCACGCAGATGTAGAATCTCCGCGAGTTCATCCAGTATCGTTTTACGCTGGGTTGTAGGGCACGTCTCGTTTGCTAGCTCGCAGATCTCTTGGGCGCCGTATACACTCAAAAGATGCTCCATTCCCGTCTCAGTGGTCTTTACCGCACTACCCGTGAGTAGTGCCAAGGCATCTTCGTGGGCTTGCATTTTGGGTTGTAAGGTTGCAAATTGTGGTCGTTGGCTCCTGAAGGGTTGCATTGGAAAGATTGCTACAGTTGCGGTGCGAGGTGGTTTGGTGTGCAAGAATCGTTTGCAATAAAGGAGATTTGATTGGGGCCAAATGAGAGCCTAATCGCGCAACCCTTCAGCATGAGGTTGATTCACCAGACGACACCGCCGCGGAATGACCGCCGAGATGGTGTGCTTGCGGATTGATTTCACTCCCCACTTGTATATACACCTGCGCAAGGCGCACAGACACCTGAGCACGTGTGGCTCCCACGCTTATACGATATAACAGCAGCTACTCGTCCTTTTGGCGCGGCTCACCCCTTCGCTGGCGGCGCCTATCTACCAGGACTACAGCGCCTTACGCATCTCAACAGATCTATTCCACCGACCTCGACTTCGCATATCGTGGGCCGGGTCTTGCTATTTAACATTATCGCGATTTAGGAATCGTCGGTCCATCTGACGACACCGCGTCACCGCCGAGAATGAAGGATGAGCCGGCTACCAGCTCACCTTCAAGCACTCCCACCAACACTAAGCTTATGACTATGTCTCCGCCCGACACACCGTTTGCCAGCACCAAGAACCAAATGCGTAGGAAAGCTGGCCCCGTATCACGTTCACCGATTCTGCGACATCGTGCCCGATCACTATCGAGCGGTCTTCCCCCACGTGGTCTCGTCGCATCACGGGTCAATACCATCAACATGGTTAGCCCACTGACTGATGTAGTCGTTCCCGCACACAGTGACCCCGACACACTGCCATCTCAGGCAAAGCCCTCTTCACCGACGTCAACGCCTCAAAATCGCCCCGGTGCACGCTCGGCTCATAGCTCCCCGCGGAAGAGCAAATGCAAGATCGACGACTTCGCTCTTCCGCCGCCCCCGCCGACCGTGTCCGCAAACGAAGCTGATCAGGACGCTATACTAGCTGCATTGAACCTCGCCCCGTCTAGTAACAAAGGCATTGTCAAGAGCGAGGCCTCTACCGATGAACCCTTCACAGAATCAGAGGACTCAACAGCGGGTAGTACACCATTCCACCGTGGCCATCGACGAAACAAGACAAGCTTATCACAGGTAGTCTCACGCAGTGACCCGCTAAAGGGAGCTACATACGGTACGGAATCGTTTCGCGCGACAGCAGGACAGTATAGCCATTGGCCGACAGATCCACACCATACTTCCTCCCCAGACGACTACTCAGGTATGGACGTGTTCAGCTGCGACACGTCTACTGAGGTGCGTACTACGAAACGAAAGTCGCTGTCAGGCTACAGCAGTACAACCCCCACTATGGAGTCAGGCAGGTTGGAAGAGCTCCACGATTGCACTCTATCACCGAGCACGACAGCGGACGAAACCAAAGAGAACGAGCGCACACAGTCCATTCAATCATACACCCCTAGCTCCGCCAAATCTTCTACGGGAGTTAGAGCAACATCCCCAGCGGCTGAGCCACATTTGCCGCTTCGTAGGGTCGAGAAGTTCAATGACACCGAAAGCTTCAACACCCACACAAGCCCCTTCTCACAATACGAATATGCGCTCTCGCTCTCGGACATGGATAGCGATGATGTTCGCGAACTCTACCCATTGGAAGCTTTTACCCAAGCAAGCGCTCAAGATGGTTGCGCCGTCCATGACTGGGCATCCCCGTGGCCTTCGGAGCAGCCTGTGAAGAAACTCCTCCGCTTTGCTTCCCGACCAGACTTTGCACCCTCCATGCACTACGAGTCAGAATCAGATGACTATCCTTCTCTGCAGAATCTCCTCGATCTGGACGAGCATGGTCCTGAGCCACGAACGAGTCCGCTCCGTGCTGTCAACGCTCACCCTCAGGCACAAGATGATGGGCTGACGACCCTCGCACCAGTTTCCTACTACCCGGATGCTGGATCAGAGATGACCATCCTTCTTCCGCGGACGTACAATGCGAATTCCGACGACGATAGGATGACTCTTCCTTCACGCACATACAATGCGACTGGTAGCGATGAACTTATGCGTCTTCTCCCACTGACTTATGATGCGAATTCTGGGAACGCACTGGAAAACGCGTCGGCAATTAAGCGGAAGCCGATACTGCGAAAGGCCAAAGAGGAGTCGCCTCAATCTCCTGCCCCGTCTCCCAGCTCTTCAAACTGGGTGGTGCATGATGGGAACGATAGCGAGGAGGATCTCTGGACGAAACCCTGCAGCGGCGTTCCGACGAATACGGGAGCCTCGGGCCGTCACCACCGCGATGAGTTGGATGACCGCGACGCTGACATGGAGCCAATCCACATCGAGAAGAGGCACAAACGCAATGGCTTGAGGACCACACATGAGCAAACCGCGAACTCTGTCGGCAAGTTCATTGAGCCGTGCTCAAATGCAGATGTTATCAAAGAACCCGCACCTTTTGGCTCGATCACCCGTCGCCCACTCCCAACCATTAGCCATGTTCTGAACCCTCCACCCCCAACCAACACTGGTGTTCTGAACCTCGACTTCCAGTTTCCGGCTCGAAGTCTCCAGCAGCAGCGCGGTGTCAGCATGCCCATATTTCCTCCACCTTCTGCTGCAGGTACTCAGGCAAAGAAACATGCGCGTCGTAAATCTTTTGGGAAGTTGCTTGGTGCTTTCGGCAAGAAGGGCCCGGAGTCTGCGGCGGTAGAAGCGAAAGAGAAGCCAAAGAAGTCGCTCGGTCGGCGCATTAGTAGGAGGTTCTCGTCGATGTGGGCGAAGTAAACCTCAGAGGTTTGAAAGCACGTCGTGGAAGGATTGACTTGGAAGCATGGAGGGTGCGACTCTTCTGGCACATTGGATACCACTTGTGTCACGGTTGCTCGACGACACCGTTAGTGAGATCACTCAGCTATGCCAAGACGGTGGCCATGTGTGCATGTAGTAGATGCAGCGCATATGGTACACTATCGAAAGGGATACGTTTTTGTACGTGCAAGGAATCATCTAAATCAAATGTCTAAGACAAAATTAATGAAAGACTGCGAAGAAAATATCAATACCATAACCATTACACGCGAGTAAACAAGAGCTCGTAACTCAGTCCCATCGCTGTTCAGCACGTCTCTCCCAGAATGAGTCCATCACACCTCCAATTCAAAAAGCCAAGATGCAATTATAGCTTACTGGCAAATAATTACCCCATTATCCAGGTTCGTGTTACCAAACTCCGCATCAGCGCCACCAGGTCTATCATTGAATTAGCTCTTGCTCACATTCCAACATTATTACTGCGACCTAATCTAAGAACTGAGGTGTAGGGAGAAGCACACTTACACAATAGTAGCAATCCTCTTCGTAGCCGCAGCATCAGTAAAGATGCTACAACTCCCACTCCCGCTCCCCACAATCAGTGCGCGGTTCGCGCGAATGGGCGTCCCCAGATTAGCGAAATTGGCGCGGATGGAGATGCGCAAGCCTAGAAGATGGTGTGGGAAGTCAGCGGATGTGTCACAACGGTTCGTACACGGATGATACTTGCCATTTGCGGGGATTTCACGCTGGACAGCGGTGTCGGTGGCGTCGTTAGAGAGTTGGACGCGCAGGGTGCGGGTTTGGCGCGTGGATATGTCGGTCGGGGCTGCGAGAGCGGAGACCGCGAGGAGAGGGGCGAGGAGGAAGGTGAGCTGCATGTTTAGGGTGGTGGAAAGGGTGTGGTAGAGTTGGTTGGTGAGTGTGGTGTGGTGTAGAGGATATGGATGATGTAGAAGGGCGTGTTGGATATGATGTGGGCGAGAAGAAGAGGAGAAGATGGTATGTCGATTTTATATCTTCTTTGCATACCGCTACCGTACATTCGTACACGGTGAGCTCTCGTTCCGTTCTTTTCTTAGACTTCCTATCCGGCTGTCTCTGCTCAGCCTACCTGGGCACTGTTGCTAACACAACTATTCTTACTCACCTGCCCAACTTGTCCAAGCACCAACAACATCACCCGCATCAATTCGCGCAACGCGCAATCCTACGTTTTCGTAAGAAACATCTGCTGTTGAGACTTGGTTAATAACTCTGTACTACGTACGTGATGACAACCATGTCAACGTGGGCAGATTTGGAACCCTGGATATTAATTTGGTCATTGTTTGCACTATTCTGGGATGGGACGCGTTAGTTGTTAAGACGGCTGATGTCAGACCACAAGTGGTAGATGTGGGGTACGTAAGGCGGGGCATGTGAACATGAGGAGCCGTATCTAGGTATGTGCCTAAAACCACAACGTGGTACGGAGCCAAGGGATGCGTTGAGTGTGTAGTACATGTGCAGCTCTGGAGTGTGCCACCATGATGCAAGGATGTGATGCCACGACCTGCATAGCGATGCAGCGGCGTGGCGTGCAGCCGATGCGCACACAATGACCAAGGGGATCAACAAAGGATAGAATAGATCGTTTGCAGCTTTGGGCCGCATCCCAGGCCTGGTTGCTGCATGCCAGGAAGATGTGCAAACTAGTCAATTTCTTTGTCAGCATTGGCCGAGAACATCCATCCTTGCGTTACTATATGGCTGACGACAGTCACCACTGGAGCAGCTGTGTCGCATCCCATTCACGTGGATCAAACCAAACACATTGAACTCTGATATGAAATTATTGTTTTGTATTGATACATCGTAGGCAGATACTGGTTTGTCCACGTATACGGCCGTCGCAGTCTTAGCCAAGGTCATCGCTATAGTCATGCTCGCGTCATGAAGTTATCCATCTACCTCCTGGGGAGAACATCCTTTGCACCGTCCTTGACCCGTTGTGCGGCATCGGCGACGGCGTCCCTGGTGAGGTGGAAATGCTGACCGAGACGGTCCTGCGAGAGTGTTAGTATTGTGTCCAAGGCAGCGGATATAGCTAGTAGCTTACCTGCTCAGCGCCCATGCCGCTACCGGCCATCAGCTTCGCCCTCTGCTGACCATCGTATCCAAGGCCAAAGTACTTGGCGTTCTTCTCTCCGTTGGCAGCCACGCTTCCCGCAGCTTGTATCGCCTTGGCAGCATCGATGCTGTGCAGCGCAGGGCTGAAGTGTGCGTTGTATCGGTCTTGTTCGGCACCATCGCCCTTGTACTTGGCCGCTGACTTCATGGCGTTGTAGCCACGGTCGCCGATGCTCATGTGGTCGCCGTAGCGGTCCTGCTCAGCGCCATCGCCCTTGGCCAGGGCAGCTTGTTGCAGCTTGTTGAGGCCCTTGTCGACGCCGCGGCGGATGGCATCTGTGGAAGCGCCGAAGTGCTCGCCGAAGCGATCTTGCTCAGCGGCGGAGCCGTGCTTTGTGGTGACATCGACGTTGACGGGGTGAGTCGCGAGGGAGGACTTCTCGTCGGAGCTGAACCAACCCATTGTGATTGATTTGAGGTGGTTTGTGGTGGGTGAAGAGGGGTTATAGTTGAGTTGAGAGTGTGGGAATTGATTTTGCAATGGTTGTGTGATGGTGTCAAGTGGACGAAAAGATGTCGTGTTATGTTGCTGGGTTGCGGAGAATGATGACGTAGGGGCTAGCGAGCGCGCTAGAATCCTTGTCTTGTGCCTGATCGTCATGTGAAGACGTCGCCTCGGCCCACTAATCATCATTGCAATGTCAAGTTTGCCGTTCCTTCATGCTCTTGTTTTGCTTTTGCCATGTCCGGCTCTCCGCGTTGTGCATTTCATCCCAGAGGTCATTGTGCTATGCGCTTCCAGTGCCCCAACTTTGACGCATTGCACGGGAACAACAAATCAGCCGATCCTTCGACGTTTAAGGAGTATGCACATATGCGAAGCGGTTCAGCCTGCATGAAAGCAACGCTTCTGCAGATGTTCAAGTCGCGGACGAGAAAGACGCGGGCTTCGAGGAGTGCCTGCCCCACTCGGAGCTATGCCAAGCCTGATTGGCTAGTTCGTAGCGCGCACCACCACAGACGTTCTTCCGTCATACTTCCATCCACCTTACTTCTATCTACGTCGCTCGCAACATTCCTATGCTGTTCGCATGCGCAGTCGGTATTTGAATGTAACGTTATTCACTCTGTCGTCATTTCCAGTTGCCGTCTTACCCTATGCTTTCATCACCTTTGCCTGCAACCATATCGGGCGCAGCAGTCTTCTCAAGGACTCCTCGCTTTCTTCCGCGTACTTTGCGCTTCATAGTTTCAAGACGCTGAGAGAGCTACCTTCGAGAAAGGGCTAAAAGACCCTATCGATGTCTGCGTTGATATTCCGCGTCTGTAAACGAGCTCGAATCTACCAAACCTTTGCTCGCGCAATGCACTGTTACAGACGCTCGCCCGCATCAGACTATGCGCATTTCAACTTTTCATTTGTTAAAAAAAAACTAAGCAAAAAGAGAACTTCCCATTCCTCCTCTCATCAGCCTCGAACCCTCACCCTCCACCAGCAAAAAGATACCATGGAACCTTGTATTCTATCCAGGTACGAAACTTGCTTCTTTGATGGCAGTTTATCACGACTAGCTTGATGTTTTTTCTGATTGGCTTCTTGTTCGATTCTTGTTTGTGGCCTTGAGCTTCCTCTGGCTTCGGCTATAACCGGCTGGAGTGCTGAATGTTTTTTCTGTGTGCTAGCCGCCACCCTTTTGTTGGCAGGTAAAGGTGGTTTCGATGGTGGATTCGGGGATTGGGTGGGTTATAACTGCGGGGTATGTGGACGTGGAGGTAGGAACAGGGAATTTAGGAGCAGGTGAGAGAGACGCGTTGGTGCGGTCGCGTGGCGGCTGTTGTGAGGTGAGAGAGCGGAGGTGAGAGCGCGTTCAGAGACCATCCAGGCGATAGCGCGCCCGGATGAGCGGGCGGAGACGAAGAGGTGGCCACGCCACGAGAGCACTGCAGACTCACCATCGGATCTCGTTCGTCATGCCCACGAGATGTGGCACTTATGATGATCGCGAGCTGCCATTGCATCAGGAAAACGCAGCGCCAACAGGCAACAAACGCGTCGCCAACACACCGGACCAGTATTTATTAACCATCTCACGCTGAGAGACCGGTTTTATATGGGGTGAGCAGCGACATAATGGATTTACAACGTGCCAGCGTCCCGACGCGCAACCAATATGACCGCGTACGCCAAATACAGGCCGTTGGCAATTTCAACAAAGCGATATGGCTCCTCAGGAACAAAACAACTGGCCAGCTTGCTGTGCGCAAGGAATTCACTCCTGGAGACGTTGCATCGGGTTTTGCTGCGCGCGAGATAAGCCATCTCATACGTCTATCGAACTGCGCTAATATCTGCACCTACCGCGAGCATGAACTAAACTTAGCGAAAGGAATTGGTGCACTTGTCATGGATGTGTATGCATATGGCGATCTATGGGCTTTGCTCGAAAAGCATGTCAGACAACGCAAGCCCTTTTCCGAGAGCTTCATCTGGCACGTCTTCAGGTCGCTAGCCCGGGCTCTCCGACATATGCAACGGGGCGATCCTCCGGCTCTGAGCGATACATATGACTGGATAATCCATCGAGATATCTATCCACGCAACATCTTCCTCGGCCTCCCTGCTTCCCACGAACCATCATGGCCGAAGGTCGTCCTCGGGGACTTTGGCTCAAGCATATCGCGCACCGACGACTGGCAAACCATTGAGCTGCGACAGCAACGGGACTTTAGCCCACCGCCATTCGAACCGCCGAACAACAAAAGAAGTGATGTATTTCAGGTAGGATTGGTTATCGTTGCGCTGTGTAGACTGACCACGATGCCAAGCCTTTACTCGCAGTCGTTTCAAAGTAGCCCAGCTGGGGCAACTTACACACCTATGCTCAACGATATCTTGAAGAAATGTCTCGAATTCCTACCTGTTAATCGTGTATCTGCGATGGAGTTACATCAGGTGTTGAATACCCGTTTCATTGGGGGTGGTAGTCTACATGGGTTGTTACTTGGAGCGCCAATGTACCAGGCTTAGATGGTAGAGCCTCCCACACATAGTTTGGACTGAACTGCTGGATTCTAATTGACATGCCGACCCAAACATTGCGGTACTCATTATCTCCTCAAGATGCATAAGGTGTCCGCTCCGATGTCACGAGAAAGCTCCGCGGGTGAGACAAAGGACTAGTGCGTATATGGTTTAGCGTGGACCCTGGCTGCCGTCAACCTTCCGGAAGTCGCGTCTTCCCTTCCATCGCGTCTTCTTCATCGCAGCTATCATCAGCTACACTGTCAGGCCGAACTTATACCTTTTTACACGATTCCATCATCACCGGGGTGCAATCGGCGCGTCAATACGCTTCATTGGCCTGGTCTTCGCCTTTCTCTCTGCTCCTGCCTCCGACAGCTAGCCAGCACGGCACTTTTGACGTGGCGCGCTCACACACCCTTGCAAGCTTCCATACATCCAATGACCTCAATTTCGCATTTCTCACCACTCTAAATTTTACAGAATCCCGTATCTGCTAACATAAGGATAGTCTCGTTGTTTGTGTGAGTCGATATTTGTTGCTTTCGTTATGATCGTGACTGCGGTCAGCTGCTAACAAGTCGACACATGACGAGAAGATGGAAGTACATGTAGCTTGGAAGTGGCCGCATTTTCTGGCTTCTCACATCATCTCTCAAAAAGTCTTCTGCAATTCTCTGCCCATGGCTTCTACATTCTGCTCTTATTGCCACGGGCCAGCAACACTAAGATGCGGCTGCAAACAACGCTACTACTGCAACCAGGATCACCAAAAGGCTGATTGGACAAATCACAAGCACACCTGCCACGACATCCGGCTTGAAGCCTTTCTGCCACAAGTCGCCAACGTCATTCAGTCGGCTTCTCTTGCGCTCCTCGAAGCTACAAACATGATGCTGATTACGAAAATTGAACTGGACAATCAGAAGATCGTCGCCTACAAGGGTGTTAACTTTAGCAACAACCCGTTCCCGAAGCTCACTGACAATGTGTTCCCTGATACAGCCACCAAACACGCGGTGCTGTGCTGCAATGCGCGTTTCTTACCCCTAGCATATATACATCTATTGCTCAAAAAGCTCATCAAGAGTAAGTGGCCCGGCATATATCTGCGCGCGATTTAACGATCAGCTGACATTTGACCAGCCAAACATGTTGACATCCACGAAGTCATGGTAAAGATCAAGACAGCATCACGGACCGTTCTTGTCCTCGCAGATGACGGTACAGAGAGCGAGAATTGGCCTGAGCACAATATTTCACTGTTACGAATTACCGCCATTGGGAGTCGAAAGCAATGGTACATCAACCTATCCGGTGCTGAGCTCGGGCTCACGCAAGCATTCTTTACCGCTGCCGACTTCGAATCCAAGCACATGCAGAGGCTTTGTGCAGTCTTCGAGTTCGGTAAATGTAGAGAATACATCTGGACTTGCTCAACTATGCCAGGCTGGTTTGCGCACACAGAGCGCATTGGCTTTCAGGCCTCATCACGGATGGAAACAGCACTACTGACCTTCTTGCAGCAGCCTGGAAATGACTTGAGAAATCTTCGCAAGAGGAGCTTCGCAGACTCGACGAGCTGGACACAACCGTTGGTTGAGGCTTTGTCTCAGGCTGTTCATGGGTACATCTCCAACTACAACGTCGGTGGACTCATGTCTCAGATCATCCATGAGCCATTGAGTCTGACGCAAGAAATGACGAGGAGGCATTTTCATCACGCTAGCATTCTTGGCGATGCTATGACGGACGAGGAGAAAGCGAACCGCCCTAGCGTAGCTTTGGATCTGGCGAGGTTCGAGCAACAACACAAGGGCCCTGGCGTGGATATGGTGATAGGGAGTTTAAGTCTCTTTAGTTAGAGATGCTCACGGTGCATGGCCACGAGTGGCGAACAATTGATGCGAGTTGTAATTCACCTCTCAATCAGAATTATACGATAGCTGTCGTCCTTCACACATCCAATCTTGAATCGCTTCGCTTGGGGGTTGGTAGCCACGATATGGTCCCCTTCGCGTCAATCTAGAAAAATGCTGAACACCCTAGAGCCTACATCGACGTCGCGTCACCCACTTTGCATGTTTTAATCTTGGTGTAGTCTGCAGACCTATCCAATCTATTCATCTAGGCTGCAAGCCAAAAGCGTCATAGCTCAACTCGTGAGATCGGAACAAATATTGCCCGGCTTCGCTGATTACTTTGCTGCACCCACAACTCCTTTGCGCTGTTTACGACAACAAAGAAAACTATGGCTCCAGAAGTACAAGCAGCGTGCGCCGTCTGTGGCGAGCCGGCTCACAGCAAATGCGGCGCCTGCAGTTCAGATATCTCATCGCGCCAATACTGCGGCAAGGCCTGCCAGGTAAACCCTCCCATGTACGGACTGCATGTGAGTTATACACTGACTTCATATGTCGTCAAATTAGGTGAAAGATTGGCCGACCCACAAGAAAGCATGCAAAGACGTTCAGAACGCCAACCTCGAGAAGAAGCTTGCGCGTGTAGCCGAGATCGTTCAGCAGGCCTACTACGACTTCCGCGAGAACACTTGGGTTCAACCTGTGATCAAGATCCACGATCGTAACGACGCTCTAGTCATTTACGACGAGTCCAAGAGCGAGAAGAAGAAGTTCTTCGTCGACTTTCCGCATCATCTTGTTACAAACGTTCGTTGTAAGAAGGCACTGCTTTGCGCATGGTCATGTAATGAGCCGACGGCTTGGTTACATGATACTCTTGTTGGTCTACTCGAAGGTAAGATATGTCCTAAATCTAACTTGTTTTCCCACGCTGACTAAACTATCACAGGACTGAACATCAAGGTCGATGAGGTTCTCGCCACGCTAGGAACTGTCCCGCGAAAGATCATCTTTCACGATAGACTTGGTAAAATCGACAACCTGACCTGGCCCTATTGCGACCACAAGATCATCCGCGTTACCGCGACAAAGACCAAGAAGCAGTGGATCATGGACATCACCGGCGCTCAATTTGGGATTTATCAGACCTTCTGGAGTTGGGAAGAATATACGAACAAGTATCTTACGAAGACGCACGACGTGGATCCTATCGGCGACAACAAAGCTATGTTCGAGAAGCTTGCCAAGAACCCCGGTAACCCAGGTCTGGAACACAGACTGATGAGGATGGTAGCAGACCATCTTGACGAAGTCGTGCACGGGTGGAAAGCTAAAAGCGGCTTGTCACTCGCGGCTCTCCTTGACCTCAACAAAGAGACGTATGAGCAGGCTAGCTCAGAGCTACTACAGACCATGAATGTCGCGATCCGCGCTCACGTTAAGACCCATGACTACAAAGCGGAGTTCCAGGCTGCCCAAGCTTACGAACGCGAGCATCACGGTGAAGGCTACAGGGTCGACCTCTAAGTCGTGATCCTCTTGGGTTGCTGGTATGATCGCGGGACACATCAGCGACATGGATTTGGTACACGGCCCGGCAGCATAGACAGGATGGGAAAGGCGAGCGCATATCGCTTTGGAAACGTGGTAAATGGCCACTTGCCTGCACTAGTCATAAAAGTCTTCCCAAATAAACGCTTCTTCCGCTATCCAATCTATCATGATGCACGAAGTACTGGGAGTCCCGGGATGAATACATAGGCGCATGTGTATCACAAGTCGAGATGCTAAGTCTGATGTAGGCCTCTACCAGTATCCAAAAGTTCGTAAAACAAGAGTGAATGCGATATATCCTGGGTCGGGGAAGCTCTGCCCAACCTTGCCTCGCGGCTCGACACCGCCTTGAGAGCATGACTCCCCATCTCATGAACCTGCTAGAGGAGGATGCTAAACTTGCAAAAGCCGGGCGAGCTGTTATCGAGCCATCTCCTAGACTCATTGATTGAGATCGTCTCAAAGCTCCGATCTAAACCGATGACCGAGTCTGGTGTGAGATAGGCGGCAACGACATCAAGTGCGAACCGTCTCCCTGAGCGGGCTTCGAGCTTACGTTGGCGCCGTGCTTTGGTAGTCGTAGTCTTCATTTGGTAGGCTTTGTTGTCCACAATAGCGGAGAGCAGGTATGTATTCATGTCCTCGCCACCAATGCTAGGGCTACTCGCACCTACCGCTGCGCTAATCTCTTCAGTATCCAGGAAGACGTCGTTCACTGTAGTCACTGCATAGATGCACGATGTCACGACGTGTCGCCAGTTCGTCGTGATAACCTCAAACGGGAAAAGGCAGCGGTCTAGTACCAGACGCCATAGCTTCAACTGTAGCCGAGCAAGATCTTTTGAGTGCTTTTGATAGGCAGGATATGTCTTTGCGAATGTTTGCATGAAGTCAGCAATGGCGAAACTTGCGCTGGTATTGATGAGCAGTTTCAATACTGCTGGAAGTAACTGCTTGATACCTTTCATCGACGCACCGAAGCACATTGACAGCTGGTTCAATATACCAGGCTGTTCGATGCCGGCCCGTACGGCGCTCAGGTACAACACAACGGTAGCGAGCTGTTCATATGTCGCGTTCACCCACAGATGCTGATGATCAACGCATGTAGTCAATCCGTCTGTGATGCCTTTAGTAGTGGTCTGAGAGAAGCCCATATCTTTCGCAACATCGATTACATCTTCGAGAAGACCTTCCAATCGTCGGTCATCGCTGACCCTGTACGCAGCAATATCTTCGGGCGTGCTAGGTACGAAGAAGTGCTTCGAAGACGTCACCACTGCGATCTCGCACTCACGAGCGCGCATCATCACCGGCACGTGCGATTGATGGAAAGGCGGAAAGTTCGGTAAGATGAGCTCACTCACTCTTGAACTACGATATCTGATCCGGCCATATTGGATCATCTTTTGACGTTCGCATAAAGTACACGCGAAAGCTGTGGAGTTCGTGATGGGCGTCGAACAGTTCCGTCCGCATAATGACACCTGCTTAGTGTGAACGGTATGGCCACATGCTAGGCAATGCAAGTGTGATGCGCCACTATAGCAAGGCTCGGTACGATCCTGTATGCTTATGCAGAGCGTCGTCAAGTTAGAACGCCGATGGTCTTTCTCTAGCGTTCTCTCGTGTTCTGCGACTGCGCGACGCAGTTCTTTGAGAGACCCTGTGTCTTCCATGGTAAAGAGCGTGGAAGATACCCGAGACAGATCTCGTGATCGAGGGAGGCGTGAATCGTGAATCGTGAATCTAGAGTTGGGACCACATATTATACCGCATTTGCTCGGTGATTCAACAGCGCTGATACGACATTGTGATGATTCGCGCTAGGTCTCGTTGTGAACGCAGGTTATCTCGCGTGCTGATAGCGCGTTACCAAACCGTAGCAGTAGCAACGACCTCCAGCATAGATGCAATAAGAGATTTTCGAGGCACTTGAACGAAAGGGTCATGTGATGTTCGTTTTGATGTAAATGCTCTTCATACATTGTATACATTACTCAATATCTACAAAGTCATACAGTCTTTCTCTTTTTCGTCTAGTAGTGACCCTTCTTGGCCTTGATGCCCTTGAGGAAGCCAGCATAGGCAGGCTTCTTCATGTAGTTGTCGTCCCAGAGAAGGGCAGCACCCTCGTTCTCAAAGACACCAGGGATCCAAGAGTACTTGTCGGAGATACCCCAGACAGTCATACCAATGCATCGCTTGACGTTCATGCACGACTTGGCGACACGCTCGAAAGCATCGGCCTGGACCTGGAGCTTCTCGGGAGTGGCGGGTGTGAGCATGCGGAGGTCGATTTCGGTGTAGACGACGTCAACGCCGAGGTCAGCAGTCGCACGGAGGGCAGCCTCGAGTGTTGCTTGATCGGGAGCGGCGCCAGGAGCGGAAGGGGTGGGCTCGCTGGCAAGATGGGCCTGGTAGCCAACACCGTCGATGCGGACGCCGTAGGACTTGATGAGCTTGACGATACGCTGCGCACCCTGGGTCTTCTCCGCGTTGTACTCGAGGTTGTAGTCGTTGTAGAAGAGCTCAGCCTTGCCGCGGTACTTGTTGGCGAAGCGGAAAGCGATGGGAAGGAAGGCATCGCCGATGGTGTCGTACCAGACGCTGGAGCGGTAGGTACCGTTCTCGTTCAAGGCCTCGTTGACTACGTCCCAGCGTGTGCAGACGCTCTTGTAGCGGGTCATGACGGTCTTGATATGGTCCTCCATAATGCCAATGAGGGTCTTGTTGTCGAATCCGCCCTCAGATACCCAGGCGGGCAGCTGAGAGTGCCAAACCAAGGTGTGGCAGTGGACCTCAAGCTTGTTCGCTTTGGCGTATGCCGCATAACGGTCGGCATCCGCAAAGGTGTAGTTGCCCTGGTTTGGGTGAACAGACTCAAACTTCATGGCGTTCTCGGGAGTGAAGGAGTTGAAGTCGGCCTTGATGATCTCGCCTTCGCGGGTCTCGTTGCGGAGGGTCAGAGCTGTGCCGATGAACTCCCGTCCTGCCTTCTTCATGGCCTTGTAGAGACTGTCCTCCTTGGGCTTGCCATGACCGTAGGTACTATCTCAATGTTAGCCAGCTACAATAGTGGCGAGAATGCGGGTGACTTACGGGCTGGCAACAGCGGAGCTGGCAATCGCCAGACTGGCGACAATGCTGGAGAAACGCATGGTGATTGAGACTTAGAGTGTTGACTGATTCGAGGTTGTCTGCCACGGATACCCTTAAAGACACGGCGAGCCTGTCATCCTATATATTCTTCGACGGTTATTCTAGAAGTCTAGCGTATGCATGCTCAATCAATCTATCCGCTCTCGCGGTTCATCTTCACCCCAGTAGTTTTGTTTAACCGGGCTCGTGGCTCATGTGCGAACTTGTCCTTCGCCGCTGTAAGTCCTTTGACCTGGCTGCATGGCGCCACCTGCTTGCGGGTTGCGGAGTTTCTCCAGACTAATCCACAAATCAACCGGCTTGGACCTCGGGATCATCGGGGTCTGGTCCTACTTCTGGGGTAGACGTTCTGGGCGCCGCTGGCCATTGCCTAAGCGAAATGCACATCCGGGGTAGACAGGCACGTGAGATGCAGGTCCCACTCATGTCGACAACGCAGGTGCAGATACGGCTGCGTTAATGGAGACTGGCCGGTTAATGTCAAGTAATCCTCAGCCTCAAGCGCTCACTCCATCCATCCGAGAATCTGATGCACTTGTCGGCGGCGGTGGTGATGATGGTGGAAGAGATGGAAGAAATGAGGGGAAGATGCCTGGTTGCTGGGTTTGGCCGCTCAGGGTCCGCGCTCACGGTTGATTGACGACCCACAACACCGTAAACTGCGATCAACATGCACATCAATATATCGCGCATTCAATCTACGTCAATCCAACATTCTGTTTATTATTATCCTTCTTCTCTCACGTCGCATCACTCATTGCATTCTCTGTCCCCCAACCTTACACTCCAGTCCTCCGGCAGATCTCATTAAACTCGATGACGACAGGAGAAGCCGTGGAGATTTAGCCCACCCGTAAAGCCACGAACCACCTGGGCATCGTTTCCTTTTTTAGCGCGAATGTTTACTTGTGCGTGTCCCGCCCCAATGACCAAGATCGCACTTTAGCCATTTTAACCGGCGCCGCATCAACTTCCTCAGATCGCATTCTGGGCGTCTCTTCAGTAAAATGACACCGATGACATTGAGTTTGCCTCAGTCAAGGGAACTTGGTCGAGTGCCAGGTGCGGAAGAGTCCGTAGAAGTGGCAACCGGAGTAATGGGGCCGAGATCAGTGCCATGACTCGACGCGCGTTCCCTCGTGACAATGCGGGCAGAATGCTCATCAACACCATCCATCTCATCACCTCTCAGTTCGTTTATATATGGTTTCCAGCTAAGCATTCCGCGTTGTACGATATTTAGAGAGCCTACGGTCGACGAGTTCTTCTACCTTGATCTATCCAGCTGGTGTCCTTATCCAAACATCCCATGTCTACAACGCCTTCTCGGATACCCGTTATGAGAAGTGTTGGAATCCTCTGCGATCAGAACACGTCTGCTCTATGATCTGGATCACGTCGCTGTTCACTTCCATGAAGCTTCAAAGATCCGGACACGACGTACACTTTGAGTTCCAAGTATCAGCAGACGTATCGCATAAATTGCGGGAGCCGCCCCAAAGACGACGGGAGGGAACAAATTGTTCATGCTGACGGCTACCGACACGGACATGAATTTATAGCGGGCTCTACACCGGCCACAGTACCGATGGGTGCTAATAATCCAGGAAGATGGTATTCACGTCTACCGTACTGCTGCACACAGCCGGCGAAACTCGGCTGCAGCGACTGTGAATGACATGATCGGTCGCATTGCTCTAAGTGTCTTCGTGTGCAGTATTTTACTCATCCAACTCCACAGTCGTCCTTCATTTAGACTTTTGTCTCGAGTTCATCGCTCTGCGCAAATCTTCAATTGAAGATCTTGTCACCAGGCTTCTTGGCCGAGAAGAGACTTTTCGATGTCACGAGTTGGTCAGTATCAGTATTACTATAATTTTTGTTGATCTTGCTCTTTCACGACGAAGGATTGATCTACAGAAATTAGCAACAACGCGACCCCAATGAAGACGGCACTGGGCGCTGCAGCCATTTACATTGGGCAAGCACATCACCCGGCACCTTCGCCTTCACGAACCAGTTATCTGTATCGGCAAAGCACTGAGTCATGCTATCGAAACCCATCTTCGTTTCCATCTCCCCTGATCACCGAAATTCTCCACGCCGAACCGTGTCGGTGGAGGCATTGTGACACTCTCAAGAATTTCGTCTCATCATGACTCTCCCCCGACTTACCATGTCCGGGCTGCGCATACGGTCCCATACTATCAACTTGGTGGACAGAAGATGCAGTTTACAAACAATACACCTGATTTAGACATCCCGCGAGCAAAAGTTCACAAAAAAAGCCGCAATGACACGGAAGGTTCAGGTACATCTACTGAGTCAGGTACTTCGAGCCTGATCCCGAGCCTCAGTAGATCAAAGCCTGCGTTCTCATTTGGGCTAAATGACCAAGTGAAAAGGCCACAACCTTTCGGCGACAAGACTACAAACTACAGCACGACGCATCCAATGCGACACAACGAGCAGACCTCCGTTTGCTGATCGGCAACTCCGAGGTGTCACGGGTGAATTGGAGAATACGAAAAGGAGAGACGTAAAGTCAAATGTCTTCAAATCACGAGCAGATGCCCAAGATGCACTTCAGGACATTGAGGACTGAGAGCTGAGGTCGAGTGGCGGTTTATGACACACATCAGTAATCATGTAGGGAGCTGAGCTTGCTAAAATCTCCATGCACCTACTCAAGGTCAGGCCTTCATGCGTGATGCGGACTCTCGTAACGCCAAAGGTCGGTGAACGTAGGTTACGAGACCTCATCTTATCGGACTGGAAATTATTGCCTTCCAATCACAGTGCGTTGTCAAAAAATGATGCGCGACCACGGTACCCACCACCTCCGGTCTCATCGAAAATCCATCGAGGCTCGAACACGCAAAGACAGGGAGAGGCGAACTTGGGCATGTACCCCGACTATGAGGTTGGGCACACGATCGACGGAGTTATCAGAGAAGCGAGCGAGATTTGCGTACGCGAAACATGTCCCCGAAAGACGCTAGTGAGTCGGCAAGTGCTGATTGGCTCGATGGACGGGACAGCGCGTGGCTGAACAACGTTCCGACGTCAACGGTCCGAATTAACATTTTCCTTCGCCGCAAAAGGCCCGTCCTGTCAGGAGAATTGCGACACGAACAGCAAGATTCCTTGAATCTAAGATGAGGGCGACTCGCGGATGTCAACAAACCAAGGCCTGCGCCTGCACCTACGCTGTGACGTCACCACTCTACGCAGAGCATCGGCGGTCGCCGGATTACTTTGGAGATGGAGATGAGGGTGTTCGTTGCGTACCTTGGAGTAAAAGAACGAGTTGAAGCTGTGGAAAAGCGCATGTGTCTCGTCGCCCAGGTACCGACCATTCTGAGACTCTAGGTAGTATGTACCCGAAGTACATCATGACGGACCAATCCAATAGGGTTCTTTTCCTTACCCGAGTTTTCAGGTCTGCAGGTGTCGTCAACGCCCGATCCCCATAGCCTAGGTGCCCATGCCCAAGCTTAGCAGATCATCCCCTTGTTAATGCGTCCCTGCAATCCATATCAGGGACAGTCATGGCTGTCCCCAAAAATACCCGTGCGAGGCTGACGCTGTCACAAATACACAACACCAGATCTTACATTTTTGGGGGACATCCATCGTTACCAAGGGACGATGGCCTGCGCAAACGGCTCCAAGCCGTTGCTCCTGCCCTGGGCAAACAACACTGTCTCCGCTGACGGCACTGTCCTCACTAGAGGCATTTCTTTCGCTATCGGCACTCCTCCGCAACCCTTTTCCTTGACGCCATCGACGCTTTCCGACAATCTCTTCATCAACAATGCAGCGGAGTGCGTGGCAGCTACGAACACCAGCTGCATTGGCCAGCTCGGTGGCATCTACGATAGTGCAACTTCGACTACGTTCAAAGAGGTAGACTACGCGACATGGACTGGCAGCAGAGAGTCCGTCGATCTAGCATACGCGAGCTCTTACATCTTTTTCGACGATGCTGCGGCTTTTGGTCTCAAACCGGACGCAAACAAGTTTGCGACCTTTCCCATGTATACCAATGGTTCCACTGATAGTAAGTCCATGAGAAAATTGGGTCGTTACAGCACTGACGCGTTGTAGCAAGCGCAGACGCGCTCATGAAGAACGAGCCAAGCTATCGAGCAACTCTGCCTCTAGGAATGGACTCGAGCTTCTTGAACTACCTCGTGGATGCCGGCCAAGCATCTTCCCGAACGTATGGACTATGGGCTGGATCAGAATCTGAGGAAGCACCTCAAGATGGCTTGATAGTCGTTGGTGGCTACGACGAAAGCCGTCTCAAAAGTGCCGCCACTACCTTTCCTATGTTTTCCGACTGTCCAACATGCGCTATCCTTACGGCCATCACGTACGATGTTGGCGGTAAGAGCACCACGCTCTTCGCGGACGCAAAGGACACTCTTGTAGTACATCTAGACCCTTTCTCATCTGATATTAGGCTACCAGCTGCGATGCTGGACAACCTTGCTGCGGCGGAGACTACTGCCTTTTGGAACGAAACCTCGCGTCACTTCGAGCTTCCTACCGACCCAGCTCCTGCAGGCACTATCACCGTCACGCTGTCGGATATGGGCACCCCCGGCGGCGACGCATCCAAACCCTCAGTCGCAACTTACAAGTCGGTCATTCCTGCAACTGAGCTCTACAGTCGGCCCCGAGCATACAACGCCGCTGGCCTGTACGAAGTGGATAATGCAACAGTCTTCAACATGGCTGTGACGAACCAAACCGGTCCTAGCACTATGACTATCGGAACTTTAGGCTTACCCTTCTTCACGCAAAACTACCTCATCGTCGATCCCGATGCGCAAAACTTCCAGCTCGCACCTGCAGTTGTCACGGCAGCCGACCCCAAAGGCGCCGATGCGAAGGTCAAGCAAGTGTGTCGCGTCTTGCCAGGCGCAAAGGCAAAGACTCAGATCGGCCCCATAGTTGGAGCAGCGATCGGGGGCATCGTCGGTGCACTTCTAATTGTCGCTCTGGTCTGGTGGTTGCGCAGACGTAAGAACAACGCAAACGGCCAACGGCACTCTCGTGGAGAAAGCGACGCACCGACCGCGACATCACAGAACCCAATCGTCCGACGCACGCAAGACCACGTTTCTCTGGACAGTAGCTCCCTCGACCTACCGCGCCAGATGCCTGCTGCACCCCCCTCCGCCATGGTGCTGAGCGACGGTACTACATTCCCATCTCCAATCTCTGGCCGTACAAAGAGCAAGCTCAGCGGCAAACATGAAGACCCTCGAAGGGGGTTGGTCCACGACAGCTTCAAAAAGGTCGATGAAGAGAACGATGGGAGGCTGCTGGATGAAAGACCCATGGGATTGAGCGAGACGATCCATTCACGAGGAACTCTACCGAGGTTGGCAGCGGAGCATACGGTCGAATGATGATAGCGTTGTTGTTATTGCGCATACCCACACCCACACCAGCCTGATTTCCTTTTTGTCCTTACGACATTGTAATACCCCACTGCAGAACAATGAATAGGAATACGGATATTTACAAACACTCTGCCTGTACAATACCTTCGCCGATGAAGCTGGCTTCAACATAATACAAACTACTGCGTCTTACAAATGAGCTACTGCCACTGCGCTTCTCTATGCCAGCCCGAACGGTCTTGCCACTGTGCTGAACTTGCATGAGCCTTCAGCCTTCAGCCCAAGGCCACCTGCCTAGGTATGCAAGCTGACTCTAAGCTTTGACTGTGGCGAGCTGTGGTCGAAATTATTATCAGTCACCTCGTAGATGCCCAATATGCACACCAAAGGTAGCTCGCGAAAAGACTTCAGCCTCGAGCGCGAAGCTCAGATATTTGGTGGATGCCGATGATGATGCACGGAAGCCTTTCCGCGACAAGCCTCACCCCTTTGGACACATGCGCTAGTTCAGAAACGCTTAGCGCAGCCCCGCAGAATCCGAAAGAGCCGCCTCCCAACCTCGTGGAAGGCGCAACATAGTTTGCTACACGATGCGTCCAGCCTCGGCTTCCCACCATCGAGAATCCGTCTTCGATGGATCTTGTGCGTTCAGCCCTAAGGAAGCTGTCCTCTTCGTGGCATGGTGCCCTCAGATCAACGACGCATTTACAGATCTTGTCAAACTCGGCAGCACTCTCCAGCAGGTCGCAATGCACCGCCAACCCCTACTTCACTCACCACGAGTACTCGCGAGGGTTCTACTACGTGCGCAGATCTGTACCACTGGGTCACTACAGTAACAGTACGCAAGAGAAAGATTCTGGCCTCGCGATGACGTGTGCTACCGGGTTCACGTCAGCAGTGCATTCTAAAAAGAGCACGTTCGAAACTTTCCACGGGCAACTGCAGCATCGAGATATAGTTTCGCACCCGAAGTCTTCAAGCTAGCCCAGCCCCACTGCCTCGTGGAAGCGCGTCATTCCGTTTGGTGATCGCGGACCTGCCGTCGGTACGTTCTGGTGAAAGCTGGCATGCCTTGTACAACGGCTTATGACCGGCGCGGAATCTGACTTTCACCAGGAAGCAAAGATCTAGAGCATGGATCACGAGATCGGAGGCCTAGCTAGGGACTGAGGACCTGTGAAATTTCGGTCGCATATTCAATGAAACCGCCAACAGCACGTAGAGCACCAAAGACTGATGAGCTCAAGTGTTGGTACCGAGATGGCTTGTGCCATGCTCTTTGAACAGGCGGCACGGGGATTCAATGAGTACGAGTTCTTCCGCGCTCACCTGCGCGATAGGTATGATGGAAAGATGCGACATAGTCTCGCATGTATCTACAACAGTCCTATCCGTTGAACGACCGTTCATGTCGCAGGCGACCACGACTTCGCTCGACCGTCAGCAGCGCGTACCCGCATTCGCTTCAAACCTAGGATGAATGAATGTGTAGAACTATATGGATGAAAGTGCTTGTCGCAGATGGCTCTCGGGCCATGGCTGTCCACGGCGGAGACTCGATGGAGCAATCAATATTATTCACAGCAACCCTGAGAGGATAGAAGTACTGCCCACTACAGGAATGGGCAACCTCCACCGACTTGATCCAAGCACTCACCCGTAGTCATGAGCTCAACTGCTCCCTTGGAGGTGTACATCAAGCGAGCCTTAGGAGATCCCACTGCCACTATATTCAGGCCCAGCATTCACATGCCACCGCCATATTTGATCAAGGGGAGGTTCAACTACATCTTGACCTTCCGGGGCTGCTTCAATCCGCCTCATCAAGGACACAAGGAAACATTATGCCACGCCTTCTTTCGAGGTGGGGAGGGTATACACCTGATAGCCGCCATCATCTTCCCTTTGGACGACTATTCCGTAGCCTCGAAGTACAGCCGCGGAAAATCGGGTTCAAAGGACCTAGTTCTTACCCTCCAAGAGCGTCTTAACCTCATCGACAATAGTGGTATCCATGGTGGCTGGCACTGGTGTCACCCACGTGGTGAGCCAGGCTCCGAAGCATTCAAGGACCGACTCATATCAGAGGCCGCAACAGATGGCTTCAACGTACGGTTCATCACTTTAATTGGACCTGATCACGTTGATCAAGAATATGGGTCCCCCGGATACTGGGGGCCTACTATAGTCGTTGGTACTGGGGATCCAGAACGCACCAGTCTACGCACGGAGACGGAAACGGGACTACGAAAATTGACAGCTTACAACGACTGGCGCACCGAAACACTCGAAGAACTTTTTATCCAGCAGTTGGGAGCTGGCGGTAACTTGACGTGGCTGGAGCAGAAGTTATCAATGCTTTTTCCGCGCGCAATGACGAATCTTCCGGGCGACCGTACGTACGATGCCATGTCTTGCACAACCACAGCTAATCTTGATCCAGGCGACGAGCGGCTCCAGACGATCAAGGATCGACTACGTACAGGTATCTGGCGCCTTGGACATACGCGAATGTGTCACCGCTCTACAGGACCACCTACAGAATGGCTGCGTTATGTGCCCACACGCTTCTTCGGTATGACAGGCGGTGTCTGGTTTCTCGGCTACAAAGAGGAACCACTATCATCAACACGACTTCGCCGCGCGCTTGCAGCCTCCAATGATGGAGAACAGCTCAGCAAGTCCATCACGGACGTTGCACTCAGCCCATGGCTGCTAGACCGATATGTAAAGTCGCATGCCGCTTGTGCGCCCCCTCAACGCAAACGTCCCGCGGAACAGGACAAAGGAGCTGAGGCGAAACGCGTGGAGCGAGAAGGACAGCAACGACAGTTCAAGAGGCTAAAGCAAGACTTTGCGCGAAACGAGAACGCGTTCAAAGCCAACCAAAGGATTGCCTGGCGGGGTCGAGAGAAGAGCGATTTCGGTGATTGGAACCGATTGGAATGGCAGGATCGTAGAGATGTTTATAAAGCAGAGCGCGCCATGACTCAGGACTGGAAGAAGCTCAAAGACCCAATCAGGAAGGAGAATATCTTGTTCCAGTATTTGGAGAAGATGCTTAGAGAAAGGGAAAAGAGTGCGGATGCGCGTGCCAAGGTAGCAGCGCAAAAGCCAGGTCATGCATAGATATCCTTCTTGAGAGGATGCAATGTTGAACATCATAACCTTTATTACATGAAACCACTCTTTGCGATTTGGGATTAGTGCTGTCAGTTGTAATAATTGCATTCGGCATTCGCAACAACGCGACAGGAAAGAATAAAGTGCGCCTTTAACTTAGACTATAGTCTAGTTCTAAATTAAGCTTAGTTTTTAAAATTATACTTTAGTATATAGTATAATTATAATAGCTTTAATATTATTTATTAAAGTATTTAGTATATTACTATAGTACTATAAGTATATATAAAAGCTTTTAATAATTTAAAGAAATACTATTAGTTAAAAAAAATACTAGTAACTTTAAAAATAGTATTTTTTAGTTTTAAGTAAATATAATAAGTTAAAAAATTTTAAGTATAATAGTATATAAAGTAGTATACTAGTAATATTTTTTTTTTATATAATACTAAAACTATAATAGCTATAACTTTTAAAATACTAGCTTTAATAACTTTATTAAGTATTAACTTTAATATAATTATACTTAAGCTAGTACTTTTAAAGCTAAAAGCTAATAATACTAAACTTAAAATAATTATTATAAATTAAACTTATAATCTCTACTTAATTAGGCCTAGCTTTAATTAAGTAAAAAATATTAAAAGTTTAGCTATATAAGTAAATTTACCTATATATAATATCTTACTTTAATAAAGGTATATACCTAATAATTATAGTATATAAGTATCTTTATACTATATTATATTAACTTATATCTTTAGAATACTTTATATTAGACTTAGTTATTAGAAATACGCTTTTATTATTACTAAAAACACAGGATTTATAACAGAATAGTAGTATACTCTAACGAGTAAAAGCTTAAGACTCTAAATAAAAAAAAAAAAAAAAAAAAAAAAAAAAAAAAAAAAAAAAAAATTAGAAATACGCTTACGCGTAATAATAGTCTATTATTACTACTACTACTAATTAAGTAACTACTTACTATATTAAGTAGAATATCTAAGATTATTATTACTAATACTTATAATAGCTATAAGTACTATACCTACGCGTAATAGTTAGGTAAGTTAGTAAGTAACTTATTAGAATAGTTTATAACGTATTATATTATAATAATAAGAATTATATAAGTATTATACTAGAAGTCTATAAGTAGAGAAACGCTAGACTTAGTAAGTAAATATTACTATTACTTATAAGAGTAATTACTAATACTAGTAGAGAATAAGTCTATCTAATAATAGATAAGTAAGTAAAGAGTAAAGGCTAGCTTATATAAGTATAACTCTATAGTAAGCTCTATATAAACGTAACTAAGACTATTATAATAGTAACTAGAACTTAGAATACTACTATTACTAGTATAACTTTTAAATATACTTAAGACTAATTATTATTAATAGACCTACTACTACTTCTCTACTAAGTATAAGCGCGTATTTTCTAGCGCTAGAAGAGTATACTTTAGATAGCCTATTTATCTACGTTTTTAAATCTAGATAGTAAAGGCTAAGAGTTTATAACTATATATAAGTAAGAACTTATTAGTATTAATATTAGTAACGCTCTTTTAGAATATCTTAAGAATACTAACTATATATACTTACGCTAGACTACTAATAATAAGTAGTATAAGCTCTAAAAGAACTTTAATACTAATAAATATAGTAAATACTTCTACTTTATAAGTATAGGCTAACTTTATACTAAAAGTAATATCTAATATAACGTAATAAACGTTACTATTACTAATATCTCTAATCTCTAAAAGAATATTATTTAGTGTCTAGACTTTTAGTAGATATTTATTATTACTTTTTTTATTAACTTACGTAATTACACTAATACTATCTACACTTACCTTTTTAAGAATAAAAGTAATAAATAAACTATTAATAATATACGCGTATAACTATAGAAAGTTAAATTTACTTTTAATAATACTTTATAGTTATAGCCTACTAGATCTATAACTAGTACTATTTATTATAAAAAGCTTACTAAGATTTATTATCTTACTTCTAAAGTAAGCTAACTTAAGAAGCTTACTTTTACTATAACTAATATTTATAGTAACTCTACTTATAAGGCCTTTATTTAGAAACGTAATACTATATATACTAAGCGTAATAACCTTAAGTAATAGATTAAGAATCTTAGTTACTATAGTAATAAGTCTAAAGATAGACTTACTTATATATAACTTAAAGAGAATCTTTAAAAGAAAGTTAAGAGTATAAACTAGTAGATAGATAAAGCTAAAGCTATATCTAAACTTTAAGATAAGTATAAAAGTTAAGTAGACTATTATAGCGTAAAGCTTTATAACTATAATATTAACTATACTAATATAATTAAGAATAAGAATAAGGCGTATAATAAGCTTAATAATATCTTTACTAAAGCTTATTATAAAACTAAAGCTATTACTAATTATTTTCTTTATTATAAATCTAACTATAAGCTATATACTCTATTCTATTATAAATACTTATATAAACTTATTAGATAGTAGCTATAATAATAGCCTATATCTATACTTAACTACCTAAGCATTAACTATTAATAAAGTAGATATACGCTAATATAAAAGTTCTTATAGCTACCTTTCTCTCTACTAAATACTTCTTCTCTAGCGCTTATAAACCTTTATATAGGTACTACTACTATACTATTTTATTCTCTACTAGTTTCTACGTCTACTATTAGTAGTAGTAAATATATCTATAAGCTATCTAAGCTTAAGCTCTTTAAGAGTAAGACTAATAATAATTATAAACGCTAGCGTAAAATAGCTATTACTAAGTATAAAATATACTTAGAGAATTAGTAAGCTATAGATTACTTAAAGTTTTATATTTAATAGAAAGTATATAAATATATCTATAATATTAAGGCTAAGTACTTTCTAGATTACTTTAAAGTTCTAGATAGTTAGTACTTAATATATAACTAAGAGGTAGACGCTAAGATAATAATTACTAATAAATTACTATAGTATAAGCCTAGCTAAAAGTTTACTAAGTAGAAGTTAAAGTTTATATCTTATATGCGTATTCTTAAGTATAAGAATACTACTTAGATTTACTATGCTTATAAATTTATATAACCTAGTTTAGCTATTACTACTACTATAAAGTTTTATAAGAATAAAACTATTTACTTATTTCTTCTTTATACCTAGTATATTAATTAGAAATATTAATAAATTAACGCTAGCTATAAAACTACTACTTTAGTAATAAAGTTAGCTACCTCTATAACTAAATAGATAGTAAAGTTAGTATTTTTCTAGGTACCTAACACTAGTTAATATAATAACACTACTAGTATATATATCTATAGAAAGATAGCTTTTAAGTAATTAGATAAGAATAAAAAGTGTTTAGCTAAACTAAAGCTATACTTTAAATATAGTAAGAATAACTATTAGATATATTACTAGTTAGCTCTATATTATAAAAAGCTCTTTACACCTTCTAGTTAAATCTCTACTCTTACTATAATCTATATTAATACTTTTAATACTAAGAATAAGAATATAACTATAAAAGATAAAGTAAAGCTAGATAATAATAACTTAGTTAATAATAAGAGTTTCTACGTTAATAATAAGGCGCTTCTTAGTTATTTAAACTAGACACTTTTATATAGAATTATGTATAAGAGCTTAACTAGTATATAGTAAGCTAATATTAGTATTACGCTTAAGACTAGTTTTACTATATTAAGATTACTACTACTTTACTAGCTAGCCTTTATAAAACTTTTGTAATAAAGAAAACTTTCTTTATCTTTACTATAGCTATTAGTAGTAAAGCTTCTAAAGACTTTAGTTAGTAGCTTAAGTTTCTAGAGTTTACTATAATCTAACTAGATTATTAGTAGCCTATCTCTACTTTTATTAATACTAAAGTAAGCGCTTACTTTATTAATAAGGTATAAGCTAATAACTATTATCTTAAAATAATTCTAGTAGTAAAACTTATCTACTTATTTCTTATAGATAGAGAAAAAGTTATAAAACTTACTACTACTATTAACTTTTTTATCTAATATAGCACTTATACTAGCTATATTATATATTATATTATAAATATTAGTAAGTATAACGTTATTCTTAGAATAAATTAGATAAACTATTACTAATCTTTACTCTACTTTAGTAATTAGTAGTCTTTTACCTTTTTAGAAGTAGACTATAAGCTTAACTACCTCTATAAGAGTCTATCTAAAATAGTCTATAATAATAGAGTATATTATAGCTATATCTATATTATTAAAGAAGAATATAAGACTAGAAAAACTATAATAATAACTAATAAGTAAGAAAATAATACCTCTAAGAAAACTATAGCTAATATCTATCTTATCTCTACCTAAGCTACTACTATACTTATTACTAAATATTCTAAATACGTAATCTAGATTAATCTAGTATATTAGATATATTCTAAAAATTCTTCTAATAAAGATTATAAAGGTATAGAAGTAGCTACTATATTATAGAATAACTTTAAGAAGTATATAAATAAGATAGAGTAACTACTAATAACCTAAGAGTAGATTAGTAAGATAGTTTCTAGTTAGATCTTAGATAAGTTACTAGACTTATTTAACTTTTATTTTACTTACTAACTCTCTAAGTAAAGACTTAGAGTAGATTACTTAATAGATATTCTACTAAATACTACTACGCTAAAGCTCTACGTTTATAGACTTATATATATAAAGACTAAGATAGTTAAGAAGTATATTAATAATATATTATAGAAAGGTTTTATTAAAGCTAGTAACTCTTTATATACTTTACTAGTCTTAATTATATATAAACCTAAAAGAAGCTTATAAGTGTACGTAAACTATTATACTTTTAATAATATTATAAAGAAGAATTAGAATACTTTACTAGTAATTAAAAAAACTATAGCTTAAATAGTAAAAGTTAAGATTATAATACTAGTAGATATTATTACTACTTTTAATACTATATAAATTAA